AGGCTGTAGCTCAACGAAGGCTAGCTAACTTGTGGAGCAGTCTTCGAAAAGACCCAAATTTGCTGCATTGATGTGATGAAGTGTTCAAGAACCATTTGAGTCGAAACATCCTTGAGCATGTTCCATATGAGCAGAAAGTGCACAAACACACACTTTCTACCTCATCAAGCTGTTATTAACCACACAAGACGACCACAAATTGAGAGTCTTGTATGACGCCTCTGCACATTATAGAAACAGTCTCTCACTTAACGATGCCTTACACAGAGGCCCAGTCATCCAGGTCCAGGTTAAAGGCAGCGGCTCGGCAGATTGACCTACCTCAGATTTTGACACAGATGGATAGGAGGCCCTCCAAGTGAACCAAAATAGCAACTCCGCGCCGAAAATGTGAACTCTGCAAGCCAGGGGGCGGCCCAAGCGCCGCTTCCCTTCTTCCTTTCGCTCCCCTAACACCTTGTTCGGACGAGTATTCTCCGCTAGACGGCGCGGGACCCCCCAACCGCCTTCCCGCATTGTGCATGCTATACAAAGCCAAAATTACAGGCAGCAGCGTCTTCGTGCCAGGGCCTCCCGACTTTCCTGAAAATTCTCGTCCGAGCTGCCTTTTGAAAATTGAAAAAAACGCCCCGAAAAAGGCCTTTTCACCGCTTTTAAAGCTCAGATTCGGGATCTACGGGTCGACAAGGCCCAAAACATGCAAAAAGATGGAAATGCAAAATCTGCCGAGCCACTGCCTTTAAGTACGCTCATCCTGCCACAATTGTTGGAATACTATTACGATTTCGAATCGGGCGCATTGCGATGATTTTCGATGTGGAGGCGTTCTTACAAGCAAGACTGCATGAGGACGATCGCGACGGCACCAGATGTCTGTGGCTTCGGGATTGCACAGCACCTCCGGCGCAAAACTACATTGTGATGCTGAGATTCACGACAGTTCCACTTGACCTAGATGCTTCTCCCTTTCTCCTCGCAGCAACGTCACTTAGACCAATACAAAGAGGATTACAAGATGACAGAGGAGATTAAGGACAATGTTTATGTGGACAACTTGATAATCACGATAGATACAATAGAAGAAGCCTCGACTTGCTACCGGAAAATCAAGCAAATGTTCGAAGTGCTTAGCATGAATCTTCGCGAATTCGTGAGCAACTAAGAACAGTGAGGAATAGAATCACGAGGAGCGATAGATTGCTCCGAAGGCCCTGGGAGTACGGTCTCCATGAGCGATCATCTTGAAATCTCATGCACCATAAACTCGTCAAAGAGCTTACCAAACGGGCAGTCACAAGTGCAATAGGCTCAATTCTTGACCCCATGGGCTGGGCGGGGCCAGAGAATACAGGAGATGAGCGCTGCTTCCGCGTTGAAATTTCGGGGGATAGAAGTGGCAGAGAAAGATCGGACTTTGGCCGATAGGTTCCAAATGCCTGTGACCTTGTTTTGTCACGGGTCTCATTCTGCCGATCTACTGCCTTCAAGGGCTTTTTGAGCCTTTCGGTTTTCTTTCTGAGGAAATATGGTCTAGATGGAACAGAAGACTGATTAACGCTCTTACAGCCCTTACAATAACGAAAGGGATTGCTGATTTGCTTGCTATAAGTCACTGAAGTCAGCTATGCCGGATGGTACATGAGGGTCTATAAAGAACTCCATAAGAAGAGGAATATCAACGATCAAACAATATGCGCATATCATACTCTCGATATATAGAGATAGAGTTAGAAAAGTGAAAGTTGTCTTGGGAAAAAAAAGAGGGAGAAATAACAGTGGAGCAAAAGCGGAAGAAAATCCGGCGCGGTATACGCTAATTCAGCCCTGTGATATGCTGCCGTAGGACTTGAGATTTGCAAGCACAGATGAGGGGGACTTTTTAAACTTGGGTAATTAAATTTATTATAAAAAAAATTAATCGGCAATACGAGCAATGCTAGCACATGGGGAGTATGACATAGAAGACATGAGATATGACATAAGATAAAATACGAGATAATGTGGATCTGTTAAAGCAACTGTAGAACGACTATGAGCTTAAACAACACAGAGTACAAAAGCAACCAATGAACAATAATGTAAAGAATGAGAAAACCATGTAAAGCCGCTACACTTGCTAAACCGTATCAACCATTTATATAAGTACACCTTATTGCCTTAACGAAGCCTAGTTTCCCATCTAGGGCACTCCAAATTGTGTCCGCCTAATGAAGTGCCTTCTTGAGTAGTTGGTAGATGTTTACTCCGCCACTCTTAATCTGAATCTTGCTTCCTCTAAAATTTAATCTTTAATGGGGTCAGGTCAGCTAGCCTTACCGGCGGGCTCGTTGACACCCAAAAATGGGGCATCTTTGATTTTAGAGTGTGCAAGATTCATGTGATTGTTTTTGATCAAGTTACTTTCGTTCAACTTTACAAGCTGGGTCTAGAGCTTCAAGTTCTGCTTCATTCCGTATTTTCTTTTATCTTCTCTTGCGGCTGAGAACTGGCTGGTCTCATTGTTTGTTTGGATCTTCTTTTATTTTTTTGCTCTGGTGCACCTCGATTGTATTTATAAAATAAAATAAAAAAATAAGTAAATATTACAAACAAATTCCACTGAACATGAAAAACCTGCTGATAAGTTGGCAGCTAGCAAGACAATAAATATAAGGCTTTGAGAAAATGGCGCAAAGTATTAGGTGGGTCCGAATGTTCGTGCCGTTTATCAGACCTATTCTAAAATCGTTCAAAATGAAGGTAAACAAATCTTTCAAATACTATCCGGTGCAGAATTTCTTCCTCTTTCCAGCAGCTATGTTTTCGTTGCGACGGTTGCTGTTAACGCTGAGATAATTGCCGAAGACTAGAACTCTTCATTTTTACCATGTCTAACTTTCGCTAATTTTCAGAATTTTCATTTTAGACTTTCGAAGGTGCTCTAATAACCACCTAATAGGGCAAACCTTATGCAAATTGATGCAGTTTTTTGCATTTATTTGCGTCCGTCTTTAGAGTTTTGCTGCATTATTTTACCAAAGCATTGAATTTTGAAAAAATCGCGTTACACATAATTGCACCACACACTGCGTCCGAATATTGAAGTTCTAAAGCTCGTGCATTATCATCACTAGTATTACGAAGTAATTGCGGCGTGAAAATGGAAGGATTTGGAATTTCGATTACAACCTTGCGCATCCGTAAGGGAAGTACAGCGATTTTGTCTGCAAAAGTCGCATGTTTCGCGAAGAAAAGGTAGCTGTCAGAAAGGGGAGAAAAAGGTGCATCTAATGGTACCTAAACTGTTCAACGTCTGATGTTTTGCGAGGTTTAGAATGAGCCGAATATAAAATTTGGTTACTTGAAAAATATACTTTAGCAATTCTAGAAAGCAGAGAGATGCAATAAACTGCATTAATTTGCAAAAGGTTTGCCCTATCAGGTAGTTATAGAGCACACTCAAAACTTTAGTACGAAAATTCTGAAAATCAGCGAGATTTAGACATGGTAAAAATGAGGGTTCTAGCTTTCGGCAATTATCTCAGCCTCATCAAACCAATCGGAACAAAGCGTAACTGTTAGAAAAGGAAGCTTTTCTGTATCGAACATGGAAAGTTCGTATAGCCTTTTTATAATTCGGGAACGTGGGAAGCTCATTCCCACGTTCCCGAATTATAAACTTTTTAACAATGTAATGTTGTTGGATAGTGATGGTTCTCAAAAAGAAGATTAACAGAGGAATTAGCTATGGAGAGTGAAAATTGTTTTTCTGAAGTCAAAATTCACAATGAAACCATTCCGGCGACGTTGTCAGCATTGTTCTGCTCATCATGCTGAGCAAATGGCCAGAAATTAACCCATCCATTTCAAACAAGCTATATGTCATCGACTCATCTTAAAACGCTGATCTCATAAGTTTATTATCTGCCGAACGACTATATGGAAGGAGTTACGAGCGTTTGAAGGTGCGGATTTGTTAAGTATTTCATAGCGCACTTTTCAGAACAGACGTTTCACATTTATTTAGTTTGGTAAATGCGCTTATTCCTTGTCGGTATAATACTCATAATCACTGTAATTACAGGCTTCTTCTAAAGAATCATATTCGTTGCGACTCGAACAATTTCTTATATCTAAACGCTCATAATTCCTTCCATATAGTCGTTCCGCAGACATTTTTTAAAAAGCGTTTCAAGACGAGTTCTTCAAACGCACTCACTTAATTCTTGACAGAATTATTCACTGCTGCGAGTATCGTGTGATGACCTGTCTAAAAAGCTTGTGTTCGACTAAATGGCATTTATCCCTGTTGCTCGGCCCCGACTCCTCCAAAACGATATCCCCTTTGCTTTTTTGCCCCGAAAACGAAGTCCGGCCTGCTTCCATACGATCTGGGCCGGGCCTTCGGTCAAAGGTTCGTTTTCTCAGAATCAAGATAGTCAACGCTTTATGCACCATTTGATGCAAAATTTGCCGTTCGTATTTTGACTGCTAGAGGTAAAACACTCAAATAACTATCGCTTGACTTTTCAGAAACCGATTCGACTGACATTGATGGGACAGGTTAATCATCAATGCTAGAGCATACATGAACGAGTGCTCATGTCTGTTGAGTTAACACATTGACGACCATGCAGATTTTTAGTTGTCTGCCTTCTGGGACCAAGGCCTATTACGGACCAGCGCACATTTTTCAACTAAAATTACGCATGCTGGCGTCTACAAAACATCTACCGTAGATCTTAAAGGTTGACAAAGAAGGTAGAAGTCTCCTCCCTAGATTCTGTGCAAAAGAAAGCTCGTGGAGTGAGTCTATACCAGGATAATAGTTTTTTTACAAAATTCAAGCCTTCAAACACATGGTGTGTCAAGCGGTCCCACGCGGTAGTCATTGCTTGACACACCATGTGTGTCAAGCGGTCGTCAATGTGTTAATGAACTGTCTTGCTGAAAACAGGTGAATTTGTAGATATTTATTTTAGTAGGTACTGAGCATATGTACATGTATGGACACGTATTATTTACTTATTGTTAGCAACAATAGCAATACAATTTTTTGGATCACCAGTAGGTTTTAAACGTTCCCGAATGTCAGCTATAGCCATTAGCATTGTGATCTTCTTGTCATCATCTTGCCGTTGATACAACATTTCGCCTTCGAAATGTACAAGACCATACTTTCGTGCTCGAATTAGATAACCGACTACCTTAAATCAAAGAATTTACGCGGTTGAAGTCGCTGAACTAAGTCACTAAATTTTTTGAGTGATAATTTTCTCATGCATTTTTGGGCTCAATATCCAGTTTTTCAATCAAGTGTTTTTTTTCAATCAAACGGACGATTTGAAAAAGCCGCGCACCTGAACGAAGTAGCAGCAGAAAATGCTTTGTATTTTTTGCATAATTGGCAAGGAAATTCTTCAAAAAAAAGCTACGTTTTTCATTTGAAGAATGCTTACCGAATCAGAATAAAGTGAATAAACATGAAATAGTTTTCCAAATTTGATCCATTTATGTGGTTCTTCTCCCTCGGCGTTCTGATTGATCTTCTCCATTAAAAACAGAACCTCACGACAGATGTCAAGGCTTGCCTGAAACGGAAGTTGTTATTTTATTGTGATTTTTTTGACAAAGTAAGGAATAGAAAAATTTTTCACCGTATATTTTGTCGTGTTCAACAGCACACCACGAAGCCGGTAACATATGTGTTTTTGGTAGAGAATATCGACCATCTCTCATGATTTTTACATTTTCTATTTTTTGCACTGGGTGGCTGGAATTTGGTGCAAAAGTATTGACTGCGGCGAACATGAACATAGGCCTTATTCTGAAAGTCATGAACCCGTAAAATAAATAAGAGGGTGAATGCTATCAATATCAATTTTCCGATAATGAACGGCTGTAGACTACTACCAAGCACTTTCTACGGAAAACTGAACCATACTCACCTTTATTCCTTTTGCCTCTGTTAAACTTCCACGCGGTGCTCGACCATAATTTGGGTCGTTCTTGTCGTAGCGTGGAGTGTTTTCATATTTGTCCAAGGGATGTCTGAAAATTTCGCCAAAGTTGTTGTTAGTCTTCTGATAACTACAAAAAACTTTTCTTTTTTTAAAAAAGAAACCAAAAATGCTAACACACATTAAATCTGAGTGTTACGTCGGCTCTGAACTCAACATTGTGACTTTACAGTGAAGCTCAAATATGTAGCACATACAGGCTGTCTCAAAATAATGCGACTGCCTTCATTACTGTATGATCACGGTAGGAACTCCTAGCATACAGCGCAACGTAAAAATTTCAAATCTGCGAAGTTGTGTACTAATTTTTTAACGCATACATCTCTGCTCAGCGTTCTACACAATTATAAAGCTTTTTAAATGGTTCAATCGCATATTTAAGGGACATTGGGAAGACAGTTAAAATTGCATACAGGCATAATCCATAAAAGAAGGCGTTAGGGTAATATGCGTACTACATATTTCGAGTCAGTAACTTTAACTAGCCTAAGTTTCCACGTTGCTTGGCTTATTTTTTGCAAAATAGGAGAGTCATCTATAGCTCGAAGTCCTTCAAATTTCCTACCGTAATCTTATAGTAGTGAAGAGGAGTTGGTGATTGCCCCATACCATGTGAATAGAAGTCAGCTTTACAGGGAGGTGTAAAGTCCGCGAAAGTCTTTGAAATAGGCAAGTTATTGGCGGTGCTTTTTTTTTTGTTTCAGTTCAATTTCATGAAAGGGAAAAACAGGGCTTTTGAGTGAAAGATTTCTTTTTTAATTTTTTTTTGGAGTAAAAGCGTGGAAACGCTGTATCTATCGCGCAAATGTTTGAAATTCCGGCACGTGAACAAAGAATACAGAAAAAGCCTTGGCGTCAAGACGATTGCTGATCTGTCAGAAGCAGGAATGTTTCCGCTACTGCAGCTATTCAGGAGATAAATTCACATCTATCGGGATTCTTACCTTCTGGGCCCGACAGGTGCCGCCTTCTCAGAATTATGTTTGACTCCACCTGAATAGTCGAGACTGAAGCTCAGAGCCATCTAGCTATTTTTTTATCGCACAGCGCGATTATGAACAGCAAATATATTTCTATGACGAGCAGAAACTGATAAAAATGAAACAGCGACGCAAACCTTGGGAATAACGGGAGGGATATGGGGAGTTGGCGAATTTTTAGCAGCTGCTATCCTTGTTTACCTATTATTCGAGCACGTGTGTTTCTATTCCTGCAAATTGTCAAGTTACGATCAAACAACACAGTGATCCTCGCTCATGCATGCTGTTGAAATCGCACATTCGAAGCAATTTTGAAAGTCAAGAATGACTCCATCTGCTCCCCCCTCTCCTTTCAGATTATAATTTCATTGAGTATTTGATGATCTTCATGATTGTCGAGAAAACCAATAATGTCAAAAGTTCCGTTTATTTGACCGCTCTAAAAAGATTGAACGGTACTTTCTCGTTATCGGGACCCATCTTTAGCAAAGTGCTATAACATTATACTCCATCTTGAAGTGATAGTGCCTCTAATTGAGACAAATGCCTATTTAGCATGTGTCAAATAAAAATCACTGAGCCTTGATCCCCTAAGATGTTTTGCAAACATCTTTTCTCACAAGTGAAGTATATAGCGAATGATGCGGCTTGATCTCTGTTGCATGACACAATAAAAGAACATCTTGAATGCTTTTATTGTTTTCAATGCTTTTGCCGACTAACAAAGTGCAAGTGGATTTGGCTTCCAATGACGATCGCTCATGAGCGTTCTTTCTAAGTATTAGGGTGTCCCATAACTCCTCTCCACACGCGTTGATTCCACTACAAAACTTTCTCATGAGGCTCAAAAACATAAGAACGATTCAAAAATGTAAGGCGCATTCAAATGGTTTCTGGCACGGCGCTAGAACGGCGCTGACTCACGGGCAAATCTGCACTTAAAGGCACCGTCCACCCAAAAAGGAGGTTGGCCAGATTATGATGGCATATGTGGGCCCCCACACTAGGCAAACCTCCAAGTTGCGCCGCAAAAGACTGCTTCTGGAGCGAGAAATCCGCTCCGAAAGTAGCAAAGTCCCGCCCCTTGCATGCTTTATCTCGCCTGCGCTTGCTGCAGAGGGTTCTCGAAACAGGGATTTTTGGGGGTTTCGCGGATTTTCGACTCCATATTCGAGATCAGGGCCTTCAAAAGGCCTGGAATCGACAAAAACATGGAAGTCGAGAATTTGGGTGGACGGTGCCTTTAAGCAGTGTGTCTCACCAAAATTGGGGTAGTGCGGGTCTACACATATCTTGTTAGAGGACCCCGTGAACAGGCGACCGCCCCAAGTCCTACTTAATCTCGGCCCCTCTACGCCTAGAAATTGCCTTCAAAGTGGCCTGCAAAGCGCGATTTGGCTCGCACGGTCGACGCTCCCCGTTTCCCTCTTACGCGTTTCATCCAGGGCTCGGCATAGAAGGGTTTGGGGTCAAACTGGACTTCGTTTTTAAAGTTAGAAGCAACGGGGATATCGTTTCCATGAGGTCCTGGGAGGAGCTCCGAAAAAAATCGACAAAGATGTCAGGTTTTAGGGTCGAACGTGTCCTTTTGCAAGCCCGCGAATTTCAAACGCAAGACTCAAACAAGCAAATGGCTTGTTTACAGCGCACAAACAATCACATTACACCGGAATTGGATTATGTGCATACAACAATACTTTAAACTGAATTATGTAAAAAGTTTCAAAAACATGTGTTCTAATACCCGTTCTCGAATTTGTTGGTTTCTAAACCAACATCAAACCAACCGGGTTTATACGAAGCATTGATATCGGAGAGTTCACATAAGTTTTGGACCCTCATAATTTGGACGATTAGAACGCTCGAAAATCTATCATATAATGAACACAGCAAACAAACCATTGCCTCTCCTCTTTTTTAAGCCAAAAATAGTGTGAACTTATGCATTGAATATCGCGCTCCAGTAACATGCGGTGTCCTTTACATTATGTGGCAAAAAATGCATCGCCATATAGTTTAGGCAGATTTGATTGGCCTAAGAGGTTAACGACATTTTGAACAACAGAATGGCACCATACTTAACAAGTGAGCCTCTAATCAGATATGTTTTTTTTGCTTTTTTGTCATAGACACCTTAGCATACGTTTTTTCGCTATTTTATTGTTATGTTGATTGGATAAGGGTGTCCCCACTTTTGGCCTTGAAAGGGACTTCGTGAATTTCATGAAGTCATGGGGGACTTCCTTCCCAAAAATGCTCCGAAGCAAGCATACCGGGCCCTGGTTTCAAAATGTCCCTCCACGCGTCCACCTTCATGGTGTTGCTGCCACTGCTTGTCTGAGAAGGCACAACTCATCCGCATTGTTTTTACGGGGCTTCCAATAAACGGGGTTTCCCTGCAGTTCATGCATTTTTTGGACCCGCACTAAGTTAAACAGAGACGAAAAGGCTTGCAATGTGCAATTCGACGACCAATTTTTGGTGAGACACTGGCCCGTATAAAAGCTCGATCAGTTCAGGTGAAATGAACTTGACCCATCAGTTCACCTTACGTCAGGTGAACTGATGGCCGCCCACCTTCCCATGCTATAGCATGGCGAGTGAACTGATAGTTGACCATCCGTCCACCTGCTGCAATCAAGTACTGCACATCAGTTCACGTTTAGTTGAACTGAACGTGAACTGATGTTAGACGAATGCAAATAGTGTGTAAAAGAAGAGACACAGACAAGACTCGCGTAAGTTGCTCATGAATAACTTACGATACACACCAATTTGCCTAACACTGCGGACAGAATCGGCGCAAAACTGCACAATACGGGGGGGGGGGGAGGAGAGAATCGATGAACAGCTGATTTTGGCGTCGAAAGGAAGAAAACAGTATTTTTTCCTTTTTTAAAGTCTGCTGACTTTTTTCGAAAAGCTTCCTAAGGCAAGATTTTATTGATTTAATTCATTGAGTTCATATTGCAACCACTTCATTTTTCATGTATTTTCGTTATAAAAGTTTGTTTTATCCATACGTGTGCTAGGCGAGATCCTTGATAGCGTTCATCATCGATTTTGCCATAGTAGTCGCTATATCAAAGACGCCAGGCATACAGCAAAAATGCGACGCTTGCCGGTGTTGAACCATGGCCGCTCTCATTCAATTCCAGTTGCTTACCTAGTCGACCAAATTGACTCAAGTGTTTCCATTCTCAAGAACACACATGACTATCATGATTGGAAAGCGATCCGCATCCATGTCAATAGCTCACTGGATGCTAGACTGAGGCGTGATAAGATCAACTCCGGTCCGCGTCGAGAGAGATGCGGGGTTCACTACTGGCCACTGTCTTTAGGGATCCGAAACGTTTTGAAGAGTTGGAAAATTTTCCCTTTAAATGCAATTCCATGAGGAATTTGCCAATTATCCTGAAATAAATATTGATTGAGTTTCAGAAACCGTTGCGAGAGACTAACTAATTATGTTAAATCATACATGTGCAGACTATTTCATGTCTGATGAGTATATCAATAGCCTTGTTTAAGACAAATGAATTTATATGTATTTATTAGCAATATGTACCGAGATATTTACAATGTATGAACACGTATTATTTTACTTAGCAACAACAGTAATACAATTTTTTGGATCACCAGTAGGCTGCAAACGCTCCCGAATATCAGCTATAGCCATTAGCATTGTGATCTTCTTGTCGTCATCTTGCCGTTGATACAACATTTCGCCTTCGAAATGGACAAGACCATATTTTCGGGCTCGAATTAATATACCAACTACCTGAAGTTGAAGAATTACGCATTTGAAGTTGCTGAACTGAGTCACTGAGATTTTTAAGTGAAAATTTCTTGCATTTTTGAGGTCAATATTTCAATTTTTTGATCACTTTTTTCGGTTCGAAAAAGCCGCGCGTTATGCGAACCTGAACAAAGCAGCAGTAGAAATTTGTATTTTTTGCGTAACTGTTGGCAAGAAAATCCTAAAAAATTTCCCTTCAATTGAAGAGTGCTTACCGAGCCAGAATAAAATGAATAAACGTAAAATAGTTTCCCAAATTTGATCCATTTATGTGGTTCTTCTCCTTCAGCGTTCTCGTTTATCGTCTCCATTAAAAAAAGAACCTCACGGCAGACGTATATACTTGCCTGGAACAGACGATATCATTTTACCGCAAACATCTTTGAAGAAAGCCGAGATGCAAGTAGATTTTCTAACAATTCAGTAGTTTGATACACATAATTTCTGTGGTTTTGAGTGTCCTTATCAATTTATTTTTGGATTTTTTGTCTTTTTACGTGAGAGATCAAAACATCTATGGTGCGTTGAAAAGGCGCGGCATTCAGTCGTTGCAAAATTCAATATTCTCGTAATATCATCAAACGTCGTGCATAAAAAAATGAGCAGGGTGGAGGTTGTACAGCTTTTTTTGTATAGCCTACGATAAGCAAGTTTGTAGCTTGTTTGTAACTAATGATACCGAAGCAACCCACCTTTATACCTCTTGCTTCCGTTTTGCTTCCTGGCGGTGGACGACCGTAATCTGGAGCATTTTTGTCGAAGTGCGGAGTGTTTTCATATTTATCCAAGGGGTGTCTGAAAATTTCGAAGTTGTTCTTGATCTTCTGGTAACCAGCAAAATCCATTTTTCTCAAGAAAGAAACTAAAATATCAAAAAGTATGCATACTCATAAAATCGTGACCTCTATGTAGTCTGAGTAGCACGTACACGGTGTCTCAAAACATTTATCGAATGTTTGATCTTGATAAGCGTCTTATATGGAAAGCTTTTGTAGCCCTTCAAGCATCGTATCGCAGAACTAGCTTTGACTTGGATTATGGTATGAAACAAATTACTGTAGGATTAGGGTACGAGATTTTAGCATACAGCGTCATTGTGAGTATGTCACAAATCCAAAGGATTTCAATTCCGCGAAATTTATCGTAGAGTTCTTACGCATGCTGATTTCAATGCTTTATCTACATGTTTTAAGGCTTTTCAGATGGTGTGATCGCATCTTGAGCGAGAGGACAGTTCTTACCTATACAGGTATAACTTATAGAATAGAGCCATCGACAGTGACTAGCCTAGTGTAAGAGTTTTCAGAACTGAGTTTGTTTTCTGAGGCCAAATAAGGAACCACTCTATAGCTTAAAAACTTCTTCACGGCTCCTACCATAACCGTACAATACAAACACAGATGCTGCGCTAAATACAACAAATCTAACGAGGGAGGGATACTTGGTGACCGTGGCCTTTTGCAATGAGATGTATACCAGTAGGTGCGTCTTGGAACGCTGATTCTAAATCTATGTTAATTATCTGCTGTGCGACTCCGTGAACGAAGTTATGGACTTTTTTCCATATTGATTTTGCGAGATTTAGGCGGTTAAAGTCGTCAGTTTCCAGGCTTTCTAGAGACTCTGATGTGTCGGTGACAGTTTCCTTGAGCTTAGCGTAAAGCTTTTCTATATCTGTACGCTCTTTTGTAGTGCGTAAGCGAACACTCTAACGTTATTGGTGAATCCTGCATTAGAAACAGTGCAAATTTTGGTGACAAGAAATGTTCATAACTTTTTTTGGAAGAATGCACAGCAGACAGGGCTCGGCACAAGCTGGCACCAGGGGAATTTCGAAACGAAGTCCCGTTTGATCTTGTAAATTTCGTACGAAGTCCTCTTTGACCAGTTTTGAAGATAAGTCATTATTTTTGGATTCTGTAAAAGTATGTAGTGGGGTTTTCATGCATGCTGTTTCATGGAACTACTTTTCACAATTATTTGAGCTTCTTATGTGGTTGAATCACATCTTGAGAAGCAGGAAAAGCCGATTTTTCGTTTGCGGAGCAGACTGAGTAATTTTAAAATTGCTATAAAACGCTGAAAAGAAAACATTTTGAAAATGCTTCTTCTCTGTATGTAAACTTTTACAGGATAGATACATTTTATGTGGAAAAGTATGAAAACTTATGTGAGCAAAGTGTCGGTGCCAGCTCAGCTGGCACCCAGCTGACACGGTGCCAGCTAATTCAGAAAAAAGTTCGGCACAACTTTCATTCACATACGTTTTCATAGAATTTTGGGCTGTAGTTCCGGTCCACCAACGCGCATGCACACACCAAATTTGGTGTCATACTATTGCATTTTGGCTGAGAACGAGGCCTCTGTTTGTTGATGGACAGCATGCCGGTGGCATGCCGGCGGTATTCTTGCGGCACTTCTCCGCCGCGGACCCCGAAAAAACGATATCCCCTTTGCTTCCCGCCCTAAAAACGATATCCAGCTTGACCCGGTGCCAGCTGTGCCGAGCCCTGACAGCAGATAATGAAAACAGATTTGGAATCAGCGCTTCAAGATGCATTTGATGGTGTACGTTTCAATTTAAAAGGCTACGGTCACCAAGTATCCTTTCCTTGTAAGTAGAAGCCAGCTCAGCGAAATAATACAAGTTCGGCGAAAGACAAGAAAGAAAGTTATTAACGATCAAACAATGTGCATTTTTTGGAAAGCTCTGTATAATAAGATAGAAAAGAGCTGAGAATTGCTCTAAGTGTTCGAACAGGGTGAGATGTGTGACTGAGCATAGAGTTGCTTGAGTTACTTGTACTGTAAATAAGCTGTGACGAAAAATGAACTATGATCAGTTAGATACTGCGGGGTCCGCTAAGCGACAGACAGGGGGGGGGGGGACATGCTGCTTCAATGTCGAAGTGACTTTATACTTCTGGCATTTTTTGCGAAGTATTTTTCGCAAAAAATGCCAGAAGTATAAAGTTCCGGCATGTGCATAAAAAATGAAGCGAAAAAATCTTCACGTTAAGAAAATTGCCATCCGTCAGGAGCAGTAATGACTCTACTGCTACAGCTATCTAGAAGTTGAGATTGAAGTATACGGTCTCTAACCTTTTGGGCTTGACAGGTGCTGCCTTCTCAAGATTTAGTTTGGCTCCTCCTGAATAGTCAAGACCAAAGCTAAGAGCCATCTTGCTCTTTTGGCTCAGAGGAACGATAGTAGACAGTGAATATAGCAATTATATCTTTTCTACGAGTGAAAACTGATAGAAATGAAACAGCGACGCAAAGCTCGGGGATAGCGGAAGGGATATGGGGGAAGTCGGTGAGTTTTCAACAGCTGCTATTCTTGTTTACCGATTATTCGAGCACGTCTATTTCTATTCTTGTAAACCGTAAGGATACGATCAAACAGCACAGTGATCGTTGCTCGTTCATGCTGTTGAATTCACACATCCTGAAGCATTTTTGAAAGTTGGAAATAACATCGTCTGCCCGCTTCCGCTCGTTTCCTTCAGATAATTTTCTACAGGTCCTTGATAAATCTAAATGATTGTCAATAATCTGTTTCTATTCTTGCAAACCGTCACGATACGATTAAAGAATCAGAATTTCTTGGAATCAAGATAGCCAACGTTTTATGCACTATTCAAAGTATTTGCTGTTCGTTTTGACTGCTTGAGGTGACATACTGAGATTAACCATCAGTGGTAAGTACCCTTTGATTTAACTGGCTTAGCGGTTGGAAGGCGGGGCTTTGTGACTTAATAAAGGTAGGTAGTGACCAGAGAGAGCGCGCGGGGTGAGACGCAGACTGCGTCGCGGACGCGAGTGGTGGCCTCCCAACCGCCAATCCCGCTGAATTAAAGGTTATACATGTATGATTATTCATGTCTGTTGAGTTAATGAACAGTCTTATATGTATTTATTTGTAGGTACTGAACTATGTACAATGTACGAACACGCATTATTTACTTAGCAACAATAGCAATGCAGTTTTTTGGATCACCAGTAGGCTGCAAACGCTCCCGAATATCAGCCATAGCCATTTGCATTGTGATCTTCTTCTCGTCATCTTGCCGTTGAAACAACATTTCACCTTCGAAATGGACAAGACCATACTTTCGTGCTCGAATTAGATAACCGACTACCTTGAATCAAAGAATTTATGCGTTAGAAGTCGCTGAACTAAGTCACTAAATTTTTTGAGTGAACATTTTCTCTTGCATTTTTGAGCTCAATAATCAAATTTTTTGATCAGTTGTTTTTTTAAACACTCGGGCAGTTTGAAAAGGCGCGCACTAAGCAAACCTGAACGAAGTAGCAGCAGAAAATGAGTAACATTTTTTGACTAATCATAATTATTATTTTTTGCGCAACTTTTGGCAAAGAAATTTTCGAAAAAAAAACTACGTTATTTACTTGAAGAGTGCTTACCGAATCAGAATAAAGTGAATAAACATGGAAAAGTTTTCCAAATTTGATCCATTTATGTGGTTCTTCTCCTTCAGCGTTCTCGTTGATAATCTCCATTAGAAACAGAACCTCACGACAGATGTCGAGACTTGCCTGAAACGGAAGTTGTAATTTTTATTGTGTTTTTTTCACAAAATAAGAAATATTTTTCACCATATATTTTGTTGTGTGCTCAACAGAACATACTTCTACCCATGCACCAGGTCACGAGACGGGTAGCATATGTGCTTTTGGCAGGGAATACAAAATAAGAAATAATTTCGTAAAAAATTTTTGAGTGCGACAAACATGAAATAGGTCTTATTTTGGAAGCCATGAATCCGTAAAATGAATGAGAGGGTGAATGCTACCAATATCAATTTTCAGATAATGAACGGCTGTGACCACCAAGCACTTTCTATGGAAAACTGAAGCACACTCACCTTTATCCCTTTTGCCTCTGATAAACTTCCAGGCAGTGGTCGACCATAATTTGGGTCGTTCTTGTCGTGGCGTGGAGTGTTTTCATATTTGCCCAAGGGATGGCTGAAAATTTCTCTGAAGTTGTTCTTATTCTTCTGGTAACTGCAAAAAAACCTTTTTTCATAACTAAGAATGCTGAAAACTATACATAAAATCTGAGATGTTTGTACGTTGGCTCCTTTACTTAACATTGTGACTTTTATAGTGATGCTCGAATAGCACATGCAAGGCGTCCAAAAAATGTATCGCCTGATCTACAATAATTTTCTTATGTAGGAAGATTTTGTGGTTCTTCAGATAAAAAATAGCAGCACTAGTCTCATCTTAGAATCACAGTATGAAGCAGATTATCGATCACTTTTCATAGTGTAGCGTTACGGTAGGAACTTTTAGCATACAGCGTCATTGTGACTATGCCCCCTATCAAAAAAGAATTCCAAAAAATCCGCAAAGTTGTACTAGGTACTGGGTAATACTGGATATTTACGCATGCTCTTATCGATGCTTATTCCACACGCCTCTAAGGCTTTTTCGATGGTGTTATCACATATTTGAGAAACATTGAGAAGGCAGCTGTTATGGTATGCAAGGCACAACTTATAGAATCATTAGGGTAAAATGCAAACTTCAGATTAAGAGTCAGCAACTTTGACTAGCCTAGTTTATGGATTTTTCAAGTTGCTTGGTCTAATTTGTGAGGCGAAATAGGACGACCCATTATAGCTTGAAATCCTCTCCAAAGTTTCTACCGTAACCCTACAGTCATGAAGAGATACCGGTGACTTTTTGCATAAAGTAAATCTAAGTAGAAGCCATAAATGGTGTTTGATAGGCCGTTCAAATTCTTCATAAAAAGTTAGAGAGAATCAGAAGTATGATACATTCGGCACACCTCGTATAGCTTGTTCACCAACGTAGACAATACGCAGTCTTCTAGTCGCGAGAGAACATGTAAGTGGTAGATACGCAGACAGTTACACAGTCATCTTGCTACTATAGTGAAATTTCCACGGAGGACTCAAATAGCATTTGACGTCGAACCTTTCTGCGCCACGTCACCCTATCCGATTCGTCGGCCACAAAACCCTTTTTGAGGAATTTCTCCGCTCTCCGTCTTTTTAAAGCCTGTCCAATCGTAGGCGATGTTCTAACCAATCAGAAGCGCGCCGCGGTGAGCGGTTCGAAAAGGCCGTTCCTCCTCTTTTTTGCATCGGAAAAGCTTGGCGAAGCTTTAATTTTTGCCGCAAATCATTGTGGTCTTCGGGCCGTACACCCTTTCCTGCATCGTTTACGTCGATGAGGGCAATTTTTGAAGATGTTTTTTGTTTGCGTTCAGTTTTACAAGAAAAAACTGAGAGCTTTCAAGTGAGAGGCTTAGAAGAACTGTGAGCTCTTTTCCAATTTCTTTCGGCAGCAAAAGCGTGGAAGCGCTGTATCTATCGCGCAAAGGTGTAAAGTCTCGACACGTGAACAATGAGCGAAAAAAAAGCTTGACGTTAAGAGGATTGATGATATCCGCCAGAAGCAGTGATGGATCTGCTACTGTAGCTATTCAGAAGTGAAAATCAAAGTATAGGGATTCTAACCTTGTGGGCTTGACAGGTGCCGCCTTCTCAAGATTTATTTTGGCTCCTCCTGAATAGTCGAGACCAAAGCTAAGAGCCATCTTGCTCTTTTCGCTCAGAGGAACGATTGTAGACAGCGAATATAGCAATTATATCTTTTCTACGAGTAAAAACTGAGAGAAATGAAACAGCGACGCAAAGTTCGGGGATAACGGAAGGGATATGGGGAGAGTTGGTCGGTTTTCAGCAGCTGCTCTTCCTGTTTACCTATTATTTGAGCACGTCTGTTTCCATTCCTGCATACCGCCAGGATACGATCAAACAGCACAGTGATCGTCGCTCATCCATGCTCTTGAAATCCCACATCTTGAAGCAATCTTGAAAGCTAAAAGTGACGTCACTTGCCCTCTCACCCATCTCCCGTTCCCTTCAAACATATTTTTCACCAAGTCCTTTATGGATGACTTTCTGTGACACAAGTCGAGAAGAACCAAATTTGAAATTGATGATCAGTTGACCGCTTCCAAAATGCGGTACTTTTCTTTATCGGACCTACCTTTAGCAAAGCGCTCTAACATTTCTCTATTTTAAAACGATAATTGCTTTGATTTCGGGACAACTGCCAGCTCAGACTTGTTTTCGGAAGTTATTTTTAAGAGAAGATGTAATGAAGCAACTGATGTTACTTAATCTCTCTGGCACGAAGGAAGAAAGAACATTTTGAATGCTTTCATTGCTTCCAAAAATGCTTTTGCTAACAGATGAAATGTAAGCAAATTTGGCTTCACTGATACCGCCATCTTTATAAGCATTCTTTTTTAGTACTTTGCCTCCTAAAGTCTTGTAGCCCAACTTTGCCCTACTATTAGGTTGTCAAGAAAATAATGTCGTTTTTTTCGGGTTTTTTCGGGTAAAATTGATATTACCCAAGAATTAGAGCATATCCGAGGTCAAAATTTTATAGTTAAGGTTTATGTGGGAGGGGCTCAGTACTACTGAGGGCGGAGTTTGCCATTTTCCATTTTTCAATTTTTTCTTTTTTTCTAAGCATGGAAAAAATATACCAAGTGTACCTGTGGATAAGTGGATATGTCTTTTACATGCAGGAGCAAGTGAGAGGTTCGCAGGATTTTCCAGGGCGAAAATCCAATTTTTGGCATCACGAGTTGCTCATGTGTTTTAGCTTCGAACTTTGCGTAAACAACAGCTTCTGCCAAAGTTCGGAGGTCGACTTGTAGAGTTTCCTTTGCTCTATCGAATAGTACCACTCATATATTTTCTTGGGTTTGTCTTAGGGCTTTGCTATAAAAAACGACATTATTTTCTTGACAACCTACAGTCGAGTAGATTTCCTGCTTAATATAGTGTCCCTGCAGACGCGACAACGCTGAGGCGTCAATAAATGCCTTGCGAGTCCCCGAACTAGTGTTTTCCATTGTTTTCTTTGCTTATTTCATGCTTTTTAGTTGATTCGTTGTTGATAAAGAGAAAAAGGGTGAGTTAAAGAGTAGTTTCTGTTTTCTGAGAAGTTCTGTCATCGCATATTCACAGATATTCACGTGGAAGCATTTCGCGTCAGCTTCTTGTCTATTTTTTTCTGTCATTTCCTTTTCTTCTGTCTCTTCTTCTTTCAAACCTCCTCCTTCTTGTGAGGCGTTTCTTTGAATGCTAGTTGGCTTGCCTTGCAGCAATTTCGGCTTTCATCCATAAGAAATAGCATTTTAATCAGTTACTTCATGTGATAAAGATAATAAGTCAATCGTAAAAACCCACTAGCATTCAAAGAAGTACCTCACACGAAGAAAGAGACATGAATTGACAGAAAAATAGACAAGAAGCTGACGCGAAATGCTTCCACGTGGATATCTGTGAATATGCGATGATAGAACTTCTCAGAAAACAGGAACTACTCTCTAACTTACCCTTTTCTTCTTTATCAGCGACGAATCACCTAAAAAGCATAGAATAAGCAAAGAAAACACTGGAAAACACTAGTTCGGGGACTCGCAAGGCATTTATTGACGCCTCAGCGTTGTCGCGTCTGCAGGGACACTATATTAAGCAGGAAATCTACTCGACTGTAATATATCTTACAAATTAGGGATGATTTTGGCCTCAAGTTTATGACACAAAATGCTCCAATCATCCTCTACAAAAAATATTTTGCGAGTCCAGAATGGTCTATTTAAGTATTTGCAAAATAAAACACTATTGAACGATTACTCCTTAGAGCGTAAGAATTGAATCTCTTGAGTTTTACAATCTATAGCGCAAATGGAGCTATTCTAAACACTGTGGTGCGATTTTCGTGCCTTAGTATAAGATCCTCAATATGGGCTTTGCACTACCAATAATAGCCGCATTCGATATACTATACCATCAAAAAAAGCAAAAAATTCGGGAACTTTCCACGGCCAAGATGTCTTTGAAATGAATTTGGAATTTGTAGAAGTGCAGCAGTCACTGAAATTGGATTGATTTTTCTTCATATGTCTTCTAGATGATGGACTAGCTTGATTCGGCTGAAAAAGTTTTCCCAAAACTACGTAGGAGTTGATTTTTTGTTCTTTCCCCCGGCGATCATGTCCAAAATTCCAGCATGCGGGGCAAACAAGCCTGCAGTCGACCAAATAATTGGGTCTCAAATTTTGCAAAGCATTTTGTGTGAAGTATGTTATCGCTGAAACCTTGTTCTATCATATTGCACATTTCTGGCAATAGTTTATTTCGAAATGAGCTTACGTAGTTTTGAAGAATCATGCTGCTCAATTTGCTAACTCTCACCCTCTATCTCTCACTCTTCTCTCCTCTGTCCGCCAGGTCAGTTCACATCCTTTTTTTGAATATAAAAAAAACTTATCTTTTTGAAAACGTTGGTAACAGGCTCTTGCATCTTCATTTAGAAGCTACATACTCAGCTCAAAAGCTTTCTCTGTTCGTGAGACGAATGATGGAAAAAAAATAAGTATGAGGTAAGAAATAGTTTAACCAGGGCAGAGCGGCTTAATGTAGATCAGTTCAAGTTCGTGATGTGTTTGATCAGCAGGTCCCGAAGGCAGAAATCTTTCGGTTTCTACTTTGTGTTTTAGTCTACTACATCATAAGCGATCTTATGTTCTCTGTTGTTTCAATTATGAACGGTAGCACATCAAAGCCACCGTCCACCCTAAGTTGAGGGACTTAAAAAATTGGCAGATATGATTATAGGTTCCCCTGTCAAGTCAATGCTTAAAGGCAGTGGGTCGGCAGAATGAGACCCGTGGCAAAACAAGGTCACCGGTAGGAGCCGCGCCATAATGGAACCTATGGGCCAAAGTTCGATCTTTCTGTGCCACTCCTAACCCCCGAAATTTCAAAGCGAAAGCAGCGCTCATCTCCTCTCCTCTCCGACCCCGCCCACCCCACGGACGAGTGAACGCGAAGCCCGTCATGGCGAAGACGCAGAGTCGTTGCGGGACCTCATGCTTATAGCATTGCGGCTGGCGCTCTGACCGTGGAAGTCACTCGTCCATGGGGTGGGCGGGTTCGGAGAGGACAGGAGATGAGCCTGCTTTCGCTTTGAAATTTCGGAAGTTAGAAGTGGCAGAGAAAGATCGAACTTTGGCCCATAGGTTCCATTATGGGGGCTCCTACCCTGTGACCTTGTTTTGCCACGGGTCTCATTCTGCCAACCCACTGCCTTCAAGTCGCGGAGCAAAATGTCGCTCCGGAAGCAAGATAACCCCTCCGGAATAACAAAGATGCACGAGGACGTCCAGACGGCACCGCCCTCCCCATCCATACCCGCCCATCCGTGCGCGCCTATCCAATTACCGTTCCGGAGCGCCGGTCTGTGGGCTCTCCGAAACGGGGATTGTCGGATTTTAGCGGATTCTCGACTTCGTATTTGGAATCAGGGACATGAGACTGAAACGACAGAAGCCTGGAAGTCAGAATCTGGGGACGGTGCTTTCAAGGCCTGGAACCAAGGACGATAGATATTTGTGTATTCTACAAAGTCCTTCGTACTGTGCTATCCAATCTTACCGCGCATGCCAAGTAAGAGCGACATTGTTGTTGATTTATGTATCATCAACCTCAACAATTTTATAATCCTAATAGCTTACGGGTATTCCCCATAGGCTATATTCCCCAACCGCTTATATTTAAGTGCCAAATCACTCACCAGTGAGTGGCACCTATCTTCCAGGGGCCGCGCCAAGCCGCGGCATCTTCTTTCTTGCATATATTTCCTGGACAGTCTGATTGTGCACGGGTCAGCTCCGCCTTACTACCTATATAAGGAGCCCCCGATTGTATTATAGGTTGTGCTCCCCCCGGTTCACACCGGGTTCGTCTGTGGATAAATCTATTATCGACACTACTATCGTCAGCGAGACATTGGTTCCCACCAAACTGGTGCATCGGCTGGGAAACCACCTCGTATTGCATCCGCAACCGGAGGAATCGAGGCCACAAGGCCCGCGTGGCAGGAAGAAGAGCCAACCGACTATCTGAAAATCTTTGTGTATCCTTTTTGTAAGCGATCCAAAGAGGTGTAAGAGAAATCGGAAGGAGTACCACTAACTATCTGAAAATCTCTGTGCATCCTTTTCGTAAGTGATCCAGAGAGGTGTAGGAGAAATCAGTCGGTCGTGTGAACTATTTTTGAAAACTCTCTGTGCATCCTTTTCGTAAGCGAACCAGAGAGTGGGAAAGAATCAGTGTTACCACACAACCACAGACAACTTGGAAACTTTCCGTGCATCCTTTTCGTAAGTGATCCAGAAAGTGAAAGAGTAGTCAAGTGGAGCACATAATCACATTAATACGTGAAACTTTCTGTGTATCCTTTCCGTAAGCGATCCAGAGAGTGGAACAAATTTTGTGAGTGCAGCACATAACCACATAAGACCGTGAAACTTTCTGTGAATCCTTTTCGTAAGTGATCCAGAGAACGGAACAAATTTTTGTGGGTGCAAATTTCCAGTCAATCTCATTGATCTCTCGCGAATCCTATCCAAGGACCGGAGATCAGTACATTGAGATTTGAAAGGAAGGTAACTTGAGTCACAAGCGCTCATTTTGCCAAAAAAGTCAAAGTTCGACCAGTCAAAGACCAAGAACTCTTGACTTAAGAGGATTGAAACCCAATCCTTGTCTGGTCGAGGTCCAACCACCTTACCAGTTAGCATAGCGTTCAAGCCACCCAGGCACGCTTGCTCATCAGAGATCAGCACACAGCTGTCTCTATTCAACAACACCACCAACGAGCCTGCAAGTTTGCGAAAACCTCGCTAACCTGTACATTGAAGAAACAGCAAAGCAACCAACTTGCTGTAGGACAAAAACAAAAAAAATCGGAATTGAATCTCGAAGTTGGCCGCACTTCATTTTTTTCAAAATCAGGATCAACAATGCCTGCAAGCTCGTAAAATCGCACGAGTCACAAATTAATGACATTGATGTTCCCTTCACATTTCCTGCGATAAAAGAACAATGTGAGCTGTACACATTAAAGAGAAAACAGGAGTAATAACTAATCTCCTAAACTCTTTGCATAACGCAATGAAGCTCCAAGAAACGCAAACCAGTGCCGCTATGGAGTACATCAACACACGGAATGATGAGAGAAAGGGAAAAGCTAATGACTGAACTCAGCAAGCACTTAGAGCTTGAATCATTTGATCTAGAAGTGGTTGTAGTGGAATGGCAGACTAGGATACAGTTCAGACAGCATGAACTGAGGGAGCAAATGACACTTTTGCATACGCCTGCTCCTAGTATCCCAAGCCAGTCAGTTAGCGAGATAGGAAGAAGCTCAACAACGGAACGAAAACGCCAGATCAATATCCGGAAACCGCTCCTAGAGATTCCTACATTCTCTGGAAACTTCAGAGAGTTCAACAGTTTTTGTACAGTGTTCGAATCACTCATTCACTGTGACGAAGACCTCTCCGATAGCGATAAATTCCTTTTTCTGAAGCAAGCTCTCAAAGAAAAAGCTGCTGCGGCTCTAAACTACATCCCCGTCGTTGGAGACAAGTACAAAACGGCCGTAGACATCCTGAAGAAGCACTTTGACCGGTTTGCCAACATGGCAGATATACTCATCAACGAAATCGAACGACTTGGAGCAAAAGACAGTCCCGTAAGTTGCCGAGAAACGTTCGAAGCAATCAATTCACGGATCATCCACTTGCAACAAACTGGAATGAAGATGAGCACAGACAGAATTTGGCGCAGAATGATTCTGTCCAAATTTCCTGAAGACAACTGCGCAACCGTCATACAAAAGGAAACCGTATGCGGCGATCACTTCAATGTTTCCGAGATTCTAGACGCAATCGACGACATCATCTTTCTTCGGGAAACGACCGCACTAACGATGAAGACACTGCTTCCAAGCACCTCACATACGAGTGGCCATCAGGACACAGATAATGAATCGGAATGGGAAGAGGAGAGAGGAAATCTCGAGCAGTCTCCATTTCCTACGAGCAGCAATCATCATTTGCATGTCTCTAGGATGCAGCGAAGAATCAACTCAGATCATCGAAAAGCAAATGGAGTACACGTTGCACGAAGCCCGTCGTATGGAAACGAAGTCTTCAGCTCAAGCAAAGAACTACCCGTTGTGCGCCAAAGCGTACTCCAATTGGCGTCGGCAATGATATTCAACGAGGAACATTGGGATTATCAACCTATAACAATACTGATTGACTCCGGCGCCCAGCGAAGCTTTATCTAATCAAAACTTAGTGAAGAGCTCAAGCTGCCAGTCAGCCAAACGACGTCATTCACCACATCAGGAATGGGAGAATTGAGAGACATTCAGTTCCAGTGAAGTACGAATTGCTCTGAAAAGCTTTCACAACGCAAAGAAGCTTAAGAAGATATCAGTGCACACGAAAGACAAGTTGACTGCCAATCTACATACAGCACATCTCACAGATGCAGATGTTCAGTTCATTTCCAATAAGAACTTGAAGATAGCTCAAGATACGCTCACTCATAAAAGCGTCTTGCCTGAACTCATTATTGGACAAGATCTTCTCAACTTCATCACCGCTCACACCGAAACAGTGCTCAACCTTCCTTCGGGGCTCGTCTTAACCCCAACCATCTTTGGATACGTCATATCCGGTACAAGCCGTACCAACGTGAGCACAGAGATCGTTGGCACTTTTGGTTGTACATCAACGATGCAGGAAGCCTCCAAATCCGCCCCTCACCCTCAACGACACGTCAAATGGCTGACGACGAAGAAAACGGGCACCAATTTCAGCGAAAGCAGTATACATGCAATCAACAGGAGAATTCTCCAAGCGCATGCTGAAGTAACATCTCAAAAGGCAACGAAGTTGTTACCGAAAAAGAGGAAATGGCGGACAGCTGCTTTCAACCGCAAAGCTAAGACAGACAGACAACGCTGGCTGGCCAAAGTTGGCTGCATATTAGGCTCTAGTTCCAGCTCCAACACGAGGATTGCGAATGGAACTCTTGCCAGAACACTTCGACCGACGTCACAAGCTAGCATAAAGATGACGGACATGCCGAAGATCACACATCACAGACATCTGATGACGGAAACCACGGCTATCACGAAGACAACCACCGATAACGATTCTGTCAACTCAAAATCGACGAGGGCAGAACCGACGAGGAAGAAGAGACGACGACGAAAGGAGAAGCTACACCACAGAACAGCAACCACCAACCACTACAATTGATCACCGTAAATTCTCTTCTGTCTGTAGCTCCCATAAGTATGTCTAAGTCTATACAAATCTATGCATTTGTTGTATCTTGTGCTTACCAGATCAACTTCTTGCTTGCTCGCCCGGAGTGTTGATGATCTTTGAATCATCAACCTCGACAACCAATCTAATAGCTTACACTTATGAACACAGCTATATCTCAATTTCTAAGTACAAATGCTTTTAGGAGGTTTTGATTGTATTTATTTATTTACATCTCAACAGATTTCGCCTCCTTCTTGCTCGTCCGGAGTGTTGATGATCTATGTATCATCAACCTCAACAATTCTATAGTCCTAATAGCTTACGGGTATTCCCCATAGGCTATATTCCCCAATCGTTTATATTTAAGTGCCGAATCACTCACCAATGAATGGCACCTATCTTCCAGGGGCCGCGCCAAGCCGCGGCATCCTCTTTCTTGCATATATTTCGTGGACATTCCGATTGTGCACGGGTCAGCTCCGCCTTACTACCTATATAAGGAGCCCCCGATTGTATTATAGGTTGCTCCCCCAGTTCAACACCGGGTTCGTCTGTGGATAAATCTATTATCGACACCACTATCGCCTACGACACTTGGTTCCCACCAAAGACATCGTGTAATCGAAATCTTTCGATATTTTCGCAGAAGGCAGACTGAATGTGCATCCATATCATGCAGGCTTTTAAAGCTTATGGTACGTAGGTGTGTAATTTGAAAGGGACTGAAGCATGTACAAACATTTACATTGATCAAGTAATTGCTGACTGCACATTCTCGTCCACTGCAGAATTACAGTACTTACATGGTGCACGTACTTATCCCTCAAACTCGATCCTCAGAAATCGTACTATTCTTGATGTTTTCCATTGAGCTGATCCTGCAGCGTCTATCTCCCTTCTTCAATTCCTCTTTCTTTCCAAACGATGAGAATGGACAGATGAAGTAAGCGATGTTCAAACACGCACGTTTGATAGGTCCGATGATATTAAATTGATTTGCTCAAAACAAAAAAATTTATTTAGTAGTAAAAATTGAGCGCATTTATGATACAATCCAAGTACACGTATTATCACTTATCAACTATAACAACACAACTCTTTGGATCACCAGATGGCCGCATACGTTCACGAATATCAGCTATCGACATCATCATTGTAACAATCTTTTCGTCATCCTGCCGTTGATACAACATTTCACCTTCGAAATCAACTAGTCCATATTTTCGGGCTCGAATTAGCATACCAACTAACTGAAATATTTAGAGTAATGCCTAAGATATCAACAAATGGAAAACGTCGAATATTTTTTACAACCTTCTCAACTACAAAGTCAGATTACACAATTTAGCAGGCACCGTAATGGGCTGTAAACGATTCAGAACGAGTTTAGCGAGGTAGCTCAGCTAAAGTACAGGCATTTGGCATTTGGTATCGCGTAGACAAACTCAGGAATGTCATAGCAGTCAACAACAACTAAGGATAATGGTAAATAATGAATAACACGACGCACTAATGTTTCTTATCTGGAGAGGGGAGGAAAAATCGTCACTGCGACTATGGTAGACTTCACGTTTACTCTTACTTACGCGACATCAAGTAACAATTGCGTGCCAATTAGTGCGCATCTTTTTGCTCGACAAGTTTTAGAAGTTTGACAGGTTGTGTGGTGCTTGCCTCATACTTTCAGTTCACATGAAAGTAATGGATTGCTTACCTTATCTGAATAAAATGAATATATATTGAATAATTTTCCAAATTTGATCCATCTATGGGGCTCCTCTCCTTCAGCGTTTTGGTCGATCAATTCACAAAGGTACAGAATCTCACGACAAATGTGAATACCAGCCTGAAACTTTCAACATTTTTGCAGACGCCCAGTTACGGTGGTCCGTTCTGTACCACTACAGTATACTACCGTATTTTGAGCCGTTGTGGGACCACGCAATGATTAATGTGAACTACAGGCGGGCGAGTATCTGTGAGGTAAGGGGAAGCATAAGGAAATAGCGAAAAATGAAATAGGGCAGGCTATGTGATTGTTGAAACAGTGATTGTTTTGCAGCACAGTAGCGTACGGTATGCTACGGTAACAGGTAGACACGGTGCCGGAAGAGCAGGGCTCGGCACATATTGTCTGGAAGCAGGCTGGACTTCGTTTCTGGACGAAAAAGCAGAGGGGACATCATTTTTGCGGGTCCGAAAATTCGAAAAACGCGAAGCAAGGTTTTTTTAGTTGACGATTCCGATTTTTAATCAAAATATGCTTTTAAAATTTTGCGAAGATCAGAGGGGACTTCGTTTTCAAAAACATAGAAACGAACTGGTGTCGGGCCCTGAGGAAGAGTTGCTTTGCAGTAGGAAAGCATACTTCAGGAGACTTGTTGATGTCAAAAGACATTCAACGACGTTCATATGTTCATGGACACTTTTTTTTCAAGAAGTTTCCCTATTTAGCACCAAAAATTTAGGTTCATTGAGGTTCCTGTGGCTTTTTAGTATTCGTACCATCCGAGTACTCTGAGCATGCAAGCGGACTCATTTTTTTCATCTTTGAAATCTTTTATTTTAGAATTCATTTTTTCTGTGTTCAGAGGCGGTCCTGCGAGCTCGTTCCTCATGTGAGTTCACCTTTGACTGTTCGTTCGTTGATTTAATGATGCTGCGAAGTGTGCAGGACAGCTGTCAAGGGCAAACTGCAGATTCGGCAAAAGATCAAACACTTCGCATTCCGAGAAACCATTACCCACAAAACATCACATCATAGAGTCACGAGAAGACGAGTTGAGAGCTTTGATTTGTTGGTCACATGATCTTATGACTTTCAAAAACTTCTAGTAATGCAAAACACTTGTTTCCTGAAGGACAAACTTTACGAGCTCGATTTCACTCAAAAAACTGAACCTTTGAACTTGTAGGCAATTATAGATTCAGAGCAAGTACAAAAGTTCGAATTACATGTGACTCATACCGCACTTGATGACAATTTTGAAACTAAACAATATTTGTAACAACAAAGGTACCCACCTTTATGCCTCTCGCCTCCGTTTTGCTTCCCGGCGGTGGCCGACCATAGTCTGGGGCATGTTTGTCGTAGTGAGGGGTGTCGTATCTTTCTGAGTAGGGGTTTCTGAAATTTGAATAAGTTTATTTCTAGTCAATGAACCAATAAGTGACATAATGATTGCCATATTCCGTAAATCCAAAACGCAGTAGGACGCTCATAACAAATCCTAAAGGAGATTTCAGAACATGTTACCTCACGAAATCTTCACGCGGCGATAAATTTCCTGATGAACGGGGATGCTGTTCTATTTTTAGAGGAGCTATTACCTCTAGATCTTGAAAAAAAATTCTTGGTAAAATGCAGACAACAAGAAAATTTTTCATAAGAGTGAACCCTTCCCTCCTTCCCTCGGTTCTCCAGTGTATAGGGTAACTGCAACTATTACCCTATTTTCAGGTGTATAAGCCGCACCCTTTTCACTCTAAAGGCGAACACGCCAAAAGACTGACTGTCATCATGGAGCGCACTAATGTAAGTGAGAGCAGTATGCGATAAAGCGACCGCTTCGCGAGACATATGCGCGGCGGCACGCTTATGTCTCCTTGCGTTTAGAGCAAAAAGGGTGCGGCTTATACACCTGAAAATAGCGTACCATAATTGCTTGTGCTGTGAAGAAAATGGGTGTCTTTGAATCATTTAGAACTTTTGCTAAGAATACGATTTGATTAGTAGGAAGCATTACTCTGTCTTTCAAATTTTCAATGAATACGAAAGTTATACAATCGTCTCCAATATTAAAATAGATCAAAGAAACATTTGTTCAAGATGATGGTGTGTCTCGTGGTTGTTAGTCAAACTATTGGAAGCTGCATCAGAGTCAACGATTTCGAAGTGGTGAATTGGACCTTTACTTATACGAGAAATGGAAAAGCGGTGCTATACCAAAAAGGATTCATATCAACATCCGCTCGTCATAAGAAATGGGTAAATCTAAATAACTTGCGCAGTTATCATCGGAGATTTTCGATCACGATCTGGCATTCATCACGGTCGATCACAAGATCTTATTTTTTAGTAGCCACAGCTTCCTGACCTCTTTCTTCCTCCTTTGAGCGTTATTTTTTTTTCATTTTCATTTGTACGCTCAAGGCGTTCCAATACAAATAAAAGAAAAAGAACACACAAAACACACATCGGAAGTTAGTAATACAGCGGAATAAGCGATAAACGAATGCAGACATCATCATATGAATCCGAGTCTAATCCTAGTCAGACTAATGTAAGAAAGATGAAACGGCTTGCACTGAATAGGTTGATAGGCTAATAGCTAGATATGTACAAAAATGTAGGCATTGATAGGCATTGATACTCATAACTCCAAAAGTTATAACTCCAAGGAGATGGGACTCATGCCCCCTCGTTGCCAGCGGAACGATCTTTGTATTATATCTTAAAAGCAAACCGACAGCTTATCAGGCGGGTCTACTGGCACAGGTTTAATAACCATAACCCAACCTAGCCGGAATGCTGGGGAGGCCCAATGACCCCTAAGGTGAAAAGATTCACATACAAATTATGTTATGGATTTGAGAGATTACATTTTAATGAATAAACCAATAAACGGTAGCAAGCCGTTTTAAGCAATGGAAGAGTAAGAAGTTCCACCGATTTACTTCTCCGAAACTGCCTGCAATTCCTAAGAATTTATCCTGGTTCATGAGATCTAACGTGGTCTTCGCTCGTCACTTGGTTTGTTTGCTCTATTGGCACTGGACGTTTCTCAGTATTCGAAGGGATAGCAAAGCACACCCAGATGTAAGGATAGAGAAAACACGTGAGCAATAGCAAGAAATTTTGGCCAGAAATTGATGTCACTGTGTCACTTAACCGTCAACTATGAATCATAGTTTTAGTCTGCTTGATGCTAGATATTTTATTGCAAGGGTTTATCATTGTGACAGACAAAGCCACTTCGATTGTCAGGCAAAAAAAAATCGTTAAAAGCTGCCGGCATGCAAAAGATTTCGATAACCAAACTATATCATAGATGTGGTTCAAAGCACAAAGGAATGAGTAAATCGCATCAGAGCGTTATCGCTAGTATTTGTCTTTATGGTTTTTGCCGACCTCTAGCTATCACTATTCGGAATTGACTTGACTTTGAATTTTTACTGCAGGATTACGGTAATTAAAAGGCATGACCAAGGTCCTTTGGCATTGTTACAACGATTTTGGCAGCTATGAGGAGCGATAAGGTTGTGCCGCAGTATGTATGATTAATTCAGCTCTTTTACAAAACTTTCAAGCGTACTTGAGCCAGGTCAGAGATTTTCATCAAATATTGGATCATGACAGGTTTAGGAGGAAGGAAGCAATTTTGGGAATGCAAGAAAATCATAACATTACAAAGCGCATTTTCTGAAACACCTGTTGCCCATTCATCTGACTAACCGTTATATTCATCGCAGCATTTGCTCCATGCCATAGTTTACAGGAATCCCAAAAAACGCGCAAACTAAGAGCTTCGCTGTGCTTATGGTTGATGATTATGCAGCATGTCCAAAACCGACACGAATTCCCATTCTGGTATACATCCTTCCATCAACTGACAAAAAGCCATAATTTCACGATTGGTCCAAGAAAGCAAAAAAAGGTTTTTTCTTGTTTATCACAGGCATACTTTCGATACATAATTCTGGTAACCTTCACTTTTGAGGCCGTGTCTCTACACTATCGAAGGTATGATCACAGAGAATGAGCTAGTAATAGAGATGCTAGATATTAGAAGAAACGTATAGTAAATGCACTAAGAAATCAATCATAAGATGAAAACTATTTACAGAGCGACGATATGGGAAATTCAAAAATTCAAGCGGCTTTCAGAAGAGATGTTGTAAAGACAATTCTGAAGTTGAGTCAGGGCTCGTTACAAGTTTCTTGTAAGCAAGCTAGATTTCGTTTTTGGGACAAAAAGCAAAGGGAGTATCGTTTTTGAGGCCGAAAAGACAGAAAAATGGGGAGTTTTTTTAGTCGACGTTTCGTTTTTCGAGGTTTTTTTTAGGTTTAGGGTCTAAGGTCAAAGGGAACTTTGTAAAACTTCGCGAAAGTCAAGAACTTTGTTTCCATTTTCCAAAAGCCACCTCGTGAAGAGTTCAGGTTTAATTGCTAACAAATTTCTCATTCTCGTCTCAAAAAACTATTTCTTTTACAGCACTCCATAATAGCACAGTACTCAAAAATCTAGTGTCCCAATGTTGCATCACATGTATACTGTTAATCACACATCACACTCAAAATCTGATGATATCGCGCTTGATGTCTTCCGCTCGCTTAGAGAACATGCGTAGAGCAGAGACGCAGACAACTAAACGGCGTGAAGGAAATGCAGTCGCGCAGCAACTTCCGCATTAACTGCGTCGGCAAATGTGATTTTTCTATGGTGTTTACTTTGGTTGTATTTACACCGTTTTTTTGCCTCAAAAAAATTTTCTTCGCAAATAAGAAAGGGCAAGGGCAATACAGACTAACTCACTTTTTCAGATTTGCCTCGGTTTCGGCAGCAACAGCGTTAAAACGCTGTATCGTATCGCGAGCTGACATATAATAAAGAACAATGCAGTAAGAATAGTTTGTCTCCCAATGGCTTTATATTAGTGTGGAAAATAAGACTGAAGGGCTTTCAGGATTATTTGGGACTGTAGACGCCTCGCACTAGAAGAATGCGAACAATTGTCCAGATGGGATATCTGGGGGTCCGCCCTAAGGGGGGGGGAGTGCCACACATACACCATCCAACATCGATTGAGCATGATGATACCGCAAAGAATGCTCAGAAAATGTGTAAAGTCTCGGCACGAGAACAACGAAAAACCGCTTGACGTCAAGCAAATCTGTTGACGTCCGTCCGCAGAAGAAGAGTGATGGCTTAGCTGCTGCTATAGCTGCTTGAAGGGCAAATGCAAGAATAAGTAGAGTTTATTACTTAGCCCTTGGAGGAGGTGGCTGCTTCCGCAGTTCTTCTCGAATTTTATCCGAGTAGTCGAGAGCAAAGGTGAGAGCCATTTGAGTGCTGGAGCCTCTTCACACCTGGAATCAGAGTTATCGCTTTAGCGTTCTTCACCTGCACTTGTCAGTTGACTCATTCGTTTTCTTATCAGAACTACGTAGGTTGAAAAAGAATCAAGAAAAGATTTTTCAACAGCACAGCTGTCAGCCTCGTGAACGGAAGCGAGCGATTTACACAAAATTGTTCAAAAAATGATTTTGACAGGAGATTTGAGAAATTTCTCACGTCAGACTCAAGATAAAAGGCTAATACAGCTACACAATATCCGACCCAGTTAGTCTGAAAAAAAAATTTACATTCACTCGGTAATAAAACTGCTTCCGAAGAGAAAAAGGCTTCCTCTACCTCCCGCGAATGGTGTGAACTTAGAGAGGAAAAAGGATAGGAAGAAATAGGGGAGAAGAGCTAGGAGGCAGGGCCAAGAATGAATTTCCAGAGCTGCTTTGTTTGCTTTTATTCGTACACATCTGTGTCTGTTTCCGAGACCGCCAAGCAACATAGTATTTTCCTCCCCTCAGCTTCGAGAATGTATCGCGGAAACTCAGAAATGGTTATAGAGAAATCATGCTGGTAACTTGTTTTTCTTTCAAACGCTTAAGGAAATAATTTTTCAGATTAGAAATTTAGTATAGTTTTAATAAATTTGATATGATTTAATATGATATTATTTCTCAGATTAGAAATTGAATATAGTCTTAATATAATATAATTTGATATATTTGATGTGAGACCTTTCAGGGAGGGAGGTGGCACGGTTGCAAAAAAATCTCAAAAAGTTTTCAAAAAGTTCTTACAACGCTGAAAACCTTGAGCCAGGAGGGACAGATTTTTATCAGAACTCCCCCACCCCCTCCACCCTAAAATCTCCTGCGTTCTTGTGCGGCTAAAATGTTTGTAAAACAGCACATTGGATTGTCGTTGTCTGAATTGTCGTCTGCCTCATTTTCAAAGCAAATTTTGGCAATTTGGGAGATATTAAAGGGTGACAGGCACGAAAGCACACAAGAAAAATTTCAAATCAAAAGAGTTGTAACAGGGCCTCACTGAACTTTCCGCATTTCCAGATAAAATTATCGCACTTAGCCTCGCTTCCTACTTTTCCAAAAAAATTTCAGTGAAGCAAGAGCGAAAATCACTTATGATCTTAGCAGACTCCGTGTAAGATAAGGTGAGTGAAAGGGTCCTAGCAAGTCCGATTAGCAAAAGTGAGGGTGAGGCCATTGGCACATATATGAGCTGGTTTTCAAGATTTTGGTCAGTTTTGACATTTTCATGAATGTTGCATAACATCAGTGAGAGGAGAAACAAATTTTTAGGAGTGATTTTGTCACAAAAAATCTGGACAAAGAGCTGTCGAGAAAGAGGCCGAATGAGCAAACAGCTGTCATCTCGAATAATCAAGCAATGGCCCCTTTGATAACGTTCTCATTAATCATTCAAATGTCGTCAGCCTGTCTCCAATGCCTCAAATAGCTTTTGAGTGCATGGATCAAATAGAGCCAATTCTACAATAATGTAACAAAAAATTGATACATTGATCCCATACAAACATAACGTCATTTTTCCTCGTATTTGCCTCGCGCAAACAAAAAAAGATTAGTGGCAATTTCATTGTTTTGCGTAAATATGGGTCTTATGAGTTTCCGTGCATAGATTTGAGAAGACTTTGATCAGGGACCCTAGAGTTAATTAGCCGTTTTTTCCAGAGAGAGAACAAAATCACAATTCTTTCTAAATGACTGCAGCAATCACTATTAGTCACTTCCCGAGAGATAACATTTTACTGTTCAAGCATAAGCCCCGAAACTTTCCTATAGGCAGTAAAAAACAGAAACATAAATTTGCTAGAATTTTGGAAGATTTTACATATTATTCCTTGGGTTCTATTCTATACATAACATTCGCAGTTGTAGTAATCAGAAAACACAGATTAGGCCCTATATTCATAACTGAACCAATGGGTAGCCCACTAAAATTTTTCCATCAGAGTCATTTAAACAACTTTGTGGAAATAATTTAGGTTGCGATGTTACGGCTAATATCGTATTTATTGATTCGAGAAAATATCAGCTCGGCCCAAAAGTTCTTCGCACCATTCCAAAATGATACAAAGTGAGTCAAGAAGACTCAAAAGCAGTAAAGGATAGGATTTGTCGGATGTGGAGGTGAAGGTATGGGAGAATACGGCTCAGGTAAGGTTGACAAATGAGTGCTATCCATCAAAGATCACTCCGCAACCGAGTACGAGATTGTTTGCATGGTGGATAGGCGAACAGTGCTTGAGGAGTAGGTGGGAGTCTAAACCCAAATAACTGTGTCAACAGGTGGGCAGTAAACGGTAAAGAAATCTCAAGTATCAAAAAAACAGGGACAGGTAGCCCCAGCAAGATGGGCACACAGTTTTCATCATATATCTCAAGTCAAGTGATTGTGAGCATTTTGAATACCAGAATGCTAAACTCTTAACTATGCTGTAGTGATAAAGTCGTTTATCCTCTTAACAATATTTACTTTGAGTAATTCTATGTTATTTCGATCGGTGCTGAGACAAAGCATTCGCTATATAGCAAGCGATATATTTTGTTTTTCCTCCGGCTTGATTCCTATAATATTCTCCCATATTTATACTTTGTACATCCGTTGTATGATGGAAATTCCCGCTATTCACAAGCGCATCCTAATATGCCACTCATGCATTTTAGGATAAAGTTCAGTTACTCGGGTGTGAGGTGCTTATGCGAGACGAGTAAAATGGTCCACTCGGCAGCCAAACAAAAAAGTCACAGCATCAAAGCTAGCAAGCTGAAGTATATTGTAAGATTCGTCATAGGTGGAAATGCAAATTCATGTTTGCATGATTTTCAACAGAAAGATAATGGCGTAAGCATCAGTGGAAATACTAGAAACCATGAATAATATGCTTAGAGCGACTTCGATGAGAAACCTAGCTAGGCGGTCCCAGCGCCGACTGGTCACCTACAGTATCCCTCTCGTCCCTGGCTGATGCTTGACCGATCCAGTACCTCCAAACATCTACCACGATCTACCCGCTTCATTCTCCGATTGTTTATATGTTGCGCCTTGTTATCGTTTACGTCATAACGATAAGCTAGTAGCAAATACTGACTGGTACTCGTGTTTATATCAGGGGGTTAGACGCTTCCACGGTATGAATGCCTATGTAAAATGCCAACAAACCGTATATAAGCACTAATGGATTTGCACATATACCAACAGATAGCAAACACCTACCAGTTTTCAACTGTGCACTGATTAAGACATGTAACAGAAAGTATGACAGGTTTTTTCCAATTGAGGGGCTCCAAGATGATCTTCGCATGTCTCGAATTGTTCACGTTTATTTTGAAAAGAATGTACAAGGTGTTAAAAAGTCCTTTAGCCCAGTATTTTTTTGATAGAAACAGAACGAAACAACATATAGATATGAAATTGGTGCACACATTACTCAACAATAAATAATACATTACACTATTCGGATTTCATTATATTAGGTTGGTTCATAATTAATGCACGTTTTCTCAACTTCCACTTTCTAATGAAGACAATTCTTTTCCGAAGCATCTCTTTGAGCGCATTAACACATTGACGACCATGCAGATTTTTAGTTGTCTGCCGTTTGGGACCAAGGCCTTTTACGAACCAGCCCACAATTCTCAACTATAATTACGCATAATGCCATCTACAGTCCATCTACAGTAGATCAGAAAGGCTGACAAAGAAAAGTAGAAGCATCCCTAGATTCAGTCCAAAATAGAGCTCATGGGATGAGTTTATCCCAAGATAGTAGTCATTTTGACAGAATTCAAACCTTGACACACATGGTGTGTCAAGCAGTCCCACGCGGCAGTCATTGCAAGCTGTCGTCAATGTGTCAAAAACTGTTGTAAACAGGAAACTTTTAGCTATACAATGTGTACTTTTGTGTGATTGTACTCACCACGAGAAAAAATTTCCGGCTCAAAACTTACGGAGAATTTTTTCTGAAAAGCTCTAGTTTAGAAGAGCATAACTTACTCTCAAAAGGACTAGAATGGAGCAAACTTTGCTCGTTGTGTAGCCGATGTTCGATTCAATAGTAGTGTGAAACTTGGATTTTACCAAAATTTTCCTGCGAAAAAAATATTGCCAAGAAAGCAAAAGTCTCATTTTCTCCTGCATTTTAGAGAAGGCAAAAAACTGTATTTTTTTGGGTATCTCCAATTTTTCATTTGAAAAACGAGGAAATTCTGCCGTTTTCCTATCGTTAGTAGTTCTTGGTCTACTCTACCAGAACCAAGTGACAGTTCTGTAATTGCTTCTAATTTTAAGCATTTTATAAAGCTGCGAGTGATCCCAGCATTCAGCTAAGTTTGATTCAAAGCTTCTCGGCTCAGGATTTTTAAAAAATTTAGCCTTAGTGAGCATTTTGTAGCACAAATCTTCGCCATCATAACACATATTTTTCGAAACAAATTTGAGCATTTTTCATGGATTTAGGGCAAGTCGAATGAAAGGAAAAAATTTTAAGTTTGAGATCCTCACCTTTGAAGGTACGGAACTTTGGTCTGAACAAAGATTTCCGAAAACAGAAGTGTACATCAGAAATAGAAGAAACGGGCTTCCCGATAATTCAGATGATTTTAGAGAAACACGATTTTCGATTGAAAACTAGCGTTTGAAAGAAGAGGTAGGAAAAACGTGCATTAATTATGAAGCAGCCCAATATCTCTCGTCAGCGGGAGGACGAGTGGCGTAATGGTGTGAGGCACCGCTATGACCAGATCGGACACAGGTTCGATCCCCGCCCCTGGGCCAACGAAGCCCTCTACCCTCTGGGGCCGGTAAATTGGTATCAGAGTAATCCAGAAGGATAAAAGCACTGACTTGTTAACCGGCTGGCCCCCGCAAGTCATTGTAATAGGCTCGCACGCATACAATCGCTTCTTCGACTACGAAGTATTGTAGTGTGCGTTCGGGCATGCCCGCAGAGGGTATTGAGGACGCAGAATCCTTCATCCTCTATCCTTTATCTCGTCAACGGAAGCCTTTCAACTATTAGCGATGGCTGGTAGTCAACCGATGCAAGCAGGTAGTCAACATCAATCTCCTCCCACGCTTTTAAGCAAATAGTTACTATGTATCGCATAAAATTATACTGTTTGATAGAGCTTCTACCTACAACATACTATAGAGGAAAAATTTTGTAAACTTCAGGATTGAAACTGTAGAAAGAATGCGGGCATGTGTAGACGACATGCCGAAGTTCTGGACACAATTGCTGAAAGTGAAATTAGAGAATTGGCTACAATGTGTCCAAAAAAGAGAATTGGTTACAATGTGTTTAAAAACCAAGTTCCTCATCAGAGTTGAACTGGATTCTCAACCAAGAGCGATTAAGAAAAAATTGTTTCAAATCCGGTGACTGCTGCATTTCTACAGTTTAATCAATTTCAAAAACATGACGACGGTGGCATGGCACGCACCAGTCATCTCGATGGGACCATAGATTTTCGGCTTCAAATCATTAAAAGCTTCAGCAAACCGCCTTTGCTTTATACGTTATAATTGTTTAGCAGTGTGTCATGAAGGAGGCTATAACAGAGGCAGTAGAAATCGCTTGAAGGCTTCAAATCATTAAATGATTCAGCAAACTCACACAATTTACATCTGTAAGGAAAAGGAGCAATTTGCTCTGTTTTTGACGAATATTATCTGTAAATATGAACTGTACGCGCAGCGCTTTGTTGATTGTTTTGTTTGTCGAATTATTCCGTTTCGCCACTAGTGCAGTAGGACATTTTCTTTGAGTAATTTTTTTTCATTTCTTTAGACTGTCTACGGCAGATTTTCATGTTTTGTCCTCTTCAATCTGCCAATGAGTTCTCGTTCAAAGAACTTCATTCCCACACCACGCGGTATACTAGGTTGTTGCATAAGTTCTGTCCGATTTGAATTTTTGAGTTTAAAATGTCATAACTTCTTTCAGAGTCAACTTTTTTCCAAGGTCTTAGTTTCTATGTGTTGAGCAGTCCCTTGGCTAAAAAATGCATATTGAGATCTGCGCAAATCTTTGTTAAGGAAGAACCAAGAATGCAAAAACTTCGCAGCGTTTTTCTTCGAATCTGTCTTTTTTGACATGGTAACGCTCCCTTATGAAAATTGATAGGCATCTTTTCTAATGATGGATGGATAGAGAAATTTTCGTAGATTATTATGCAACATAAAAGAGCCCATAGGGTTTGCGCTGCCGAGAGATTTTCTTAACCGAACGAAAAATTAGCCACTTTTTGACCTTGCTTCAGCACATGTGTGCATGCCTATTCATGAACTACGAACGTTTTACAACTGACGTGAGCGCCGAAAAGGAATTGGTGGATGGGCCCTGTTAGCTCTTGCTTTGCCCTAGCACCTCCAACTTTAGCTTGTCGATTACTTCTATTCGCAGAAAGTTATTGCTTGTAAAACATCTATACCAAAGGTTTATGTTCGAGGATAAATTTCACTAGCAAGACGTATTCTTCATGGGACCGAACTTCTGCATATACTAGCATTCCACACCCTTATTCCGAAGCCAATGAAAGAACCTGACTTGAAGGGCGCATTGTGGAGATATCCTCGCAAGGACATATTTCTAGGGATAGAACGTACCTCGGCCACTTAGAGATTTTAGGCCTGTGATCTCCGTACACTAAGAATTTTATTGAATTCTGGTATGCTTTAGAAAGCGCAAGGAAAGCACTTTTCAATGATACCAACCGTATCGAATTAGAGATGAAATTCTCTTAGAACAGCTGCTTCAAACATGAGGCAAAAAAATCGGACAGAACTTATGCAACAGCCTAGTACTTATTCACCTATCTTTTCTTGTTCTAGCAGAGCTACATAACCAGGCTTTTCCCCTCTCAACGCGGGATAGTGAGGTCACAGATATACACTTACTCAAAATAGCAACACTGTAGCTTTATCATACTCTTTGCTGAAACTATTAACATCGCATCTTGGTTTATAATTCGGATATCCAGGCAGCTTGCTAATGGTGGAGCATATCGCTCGTCGAAAATAAAACTGTCAAAATGAAAATTGTGACAGATAGTTGAAACTGTGAGAAAAAATATTGAGCTTTCTGTGCACACGAACACCTGATGACAAAACTTTGCAAGTGGCGTTCACTATCAATTCGCAATGATAGCGAGGGTGAAACCATACGTGAATTGAAAACATTTGTTTGTCACTTCAGCGCCTAATGTAAGCTTGGATCAACTTCGATCTCAATGGCTCAGCGCTGCAAATCGCATAAATCCCAAAGAAGATTTTCTTAGTAAGCGACTTGTTGTTCCTTTTATGGTGGTCCTCAAGTTTGGCGTGTGCTGAACATCAGAGAGATTTTGAATGTTGCGATCAACAATATCCTTTCCCATAGGCAAGAACACTTGCAGGAGTGCAGAGGTATTAGCAGGCACCAAACACCTCCTATCAAGTTATGAAGAATGAGATGCGAACTCTGGAGCGAGTCGGTTGGCTCCTATAAAGGTATCTTTCAAGTAAACAATGTGAGTAGATGCTGGCTCAAAGGGTTATTTTGTGATTATCATTCTTAGAGAGTAATGAAAGATGTAAATATCATTGAATCTTTTTTGTTCAGTTGCATTCATCTTCAAACGATTACAGCCGTTGAGCTTAGCGACACGCTCTGAAGTTTATTAGTGCAGCTCAATAGTCCGAAAACCGTAGCCTCATTGTTATTATCGTTTGTCATTGCTGATATTTTTTCGCCATATTTTAGCACATGTATCTGCTAGAGTCATTTGTCATGTTTCCATGCATGAATTTCAAAAAAATTGTCAGAAGACTCTCATTATAACCTTGGTCACTTACTAACAAGGGAGCGGACATAAGTCGAAGTGGCCAATCCAAACAAGCTGTATACCATTCGTTGCAGCATAGATCGCTGACTCAAAATCTGTCTTCCTTATCTGCAGAACGCCTTTGTAGGGAAAGTATGAGCAGTTTTCTACTGGGAGAAATCGTGCATAAAAATTGCGCAACTTTATTATTGCCCGCTTGGTCACCTTTGGGTGACGCCGCTTGAATTAACCTATCTGGATATTTGGTTTAACAATAAACCGAACATGTTCGAAAGTTATCTATACATATAGGTCATAAAATTAGATGATTTGTCTACTGCTACTCTGCTTATGTTAGTTTCGACTTCGGGATTATAGGCTGTGAATGACAGATATGATAGTGCTGCTTGAGACGTGATCTCTTGGTCTACCTGGCAAAGCGGCTCTTGATATAATTTCCATGCTCTACCATTGCGCATACAATACCATTCAAATAAATGCAAAATATCCGGGATTTTTGCGAAAATTTGCGACCTGGAATTTTGCACATTATATGAGCGGTATTGTATGTTCTGCTTGTGCTGAGGTCAATACTTTAGAAAGCAAAACTTTGTTGAAAATGTTTTTCGCTATGATGTAGGATGCTATATCAGTTTACAAAAAAGGCTTTGGATAATTGTAGACATTGATTAGTTTTTGGTCTAAATGTTTTCAGCATCTCATCATGCAAGATAAAGCAGTTGACTGAGTGTTTGAAATTACATTGAGACGCAAAACGTGTTGAAAATATCTTTGTACTTCCATCTGCATAACTTTACTTCTTTCCCTTTTTCGCTTTTCTGAGTTTCTCTTGTGTCGCTTTGCGTTTTTCTTGTTCTTTCTTGAGTTTTTCCTCTCTTTCTTCCAAAGCGATTAAACGCCAGACCATAGGCGGAGGAAGGTGGTGAGGACGAAAAGGTGGTAAATGAAAACTACGAACTTCTGTAATAATTCAAGGTTGTGCGATATTTTTCCCAAGCTTGCAAAACCCACGAAGACACCAGACAAGCACAGCAAATGCCTGAAATGCTTTAATCAAAAGAAAGCTATACGACAACAAGATCAATGACTCACCGCAAGGCAGAACCCAGTTATTGCTGTCGCTTTCATCTATAACAATGTGTGAGATTAGACTTTGTGTTATTTCTTTAGCTAATGCGCTATCCGATTGAACACTAGTCAGTGAAAAGATGTTTGTTTGCGAAACCGCTATTTACAAAAACAAATCATTTATCTTACTTTCACTATAACGGATCATTATGTGCTATTATCTAGCTTTTATTAAAATTGCAATTATCCCTTGATTTCAAGAGTATAGGACGCGGGTGGTTTTTTTTTCTGAAATCGAATAGCACAGACAAGCCAAGGAATTCGCTACCAAAAAACCATGTAAAGCTACTGCAGGACGAAGGTGCAGAAGCATTATAAGCTGTGCGGACGCGAACGCGGCACGCGTGTGTCTTCACCGTTGCAAGTCCTGCACCTCATGCGCTCTGCGGCTTATAAAGCCGCGTTCGCGCCCAAAGATATTGCGCCTTCGTCGCGCAGCAGCCTATACAGTGCTGCATATTGCCTAAGATTATCGTGCTGCCTAGGCCTCCTTTTACGAAATAGAGCGGGGCGGCTGAGCTGCTCGCTCAGAAATCAAAAAAGTGCTCCTATACTTGTGAAATAGGGTAGGAGCGTTATGTACTGCAGAATTCGTGCGACTTGTATTCTATAACACTTCATTGCTTTTTTTTGTTTCTTATACGGAACGCCTTGAGCGTATTAAAAGAAAATGAAGATGAATTTTTTGTGATGAAAGCTGTGAGCATTTTTAAGATGCATGAAAAATTTCAATACGCTGCTATCTTCATCCCAGACAGCATTTTTATTCATACAGAGTAGCATAATTTCAAAAAAGAATCAATATTCCTCGCCGTTATGACTATATCTATCAGATCTATTCCACTCACAAGTTTGCTAGTTTTTATAAGCAAGAGAAAACATTCTGCGTAGAGAGTGATAAGTTGCATTGAATCCCAATGTACTACATAATGAATTGCTCCTTAGAACGAAAACCTTTTTCTGCAAAAACAAAGAAAGAAAATTTTTTTCTAGAAAAAAATTTTCAGCTCCTTACTGCTGGTCAGGTCGCTGGAAACGCAACAGCGCAGTTTGTCAAACGATAACGATTTCAAAAGTTTTGAAATCGTTCTTATGATAATTCTTGTTCGTAGATTTGGAGTTTGGATTTTCAAAAAAGTGAGGAAGCACAGATTTGATAGCTTGCGCTAGGCGGTACATGATGATAAGATGATATCGGGAGTTTGCAAGCAAGAAATTTTTTAGTTATTCATATAGCGATCTTGCGCGCTATTTATGCAGCCTGCCGAAAACAATCCACATCAAACATGGTTATAAGTATTTCGCAAGACATAAAAATGAGATTAAACATAAACTCAGATTTATCACCAACATTTTGAGCGCCATTTTCATTAGGAATCGTAATGGCGAACAAATAAAAAGCGATGGTATTGGTGTTAAAGCTGCAAATAAATACAAATTAGGACAACATTGAGTCGAAAATCAACAACCAAATAATCAAAAGATTCCCAAATCTCACAGAAATGGAAATCTCTTTGCAACTTAGCTCTCTTGATGCCACCATAAAGATCACTTTTCTCATGCATTATTTATTAGGTTGTCCCAAGGAAACTCTTTTTTCGAGGAAAAAAATAAGCTATTTTCGTTTTTTAGCAGACTTGGAACACCATCCGATAGAGCGGAGCAAGCTCTAAAAATGACGACCAAAGATTCCCCTAAATCATAATCCATTTGAAGTTTGGAGCGAAAATAAAAATTTCCGACTGCTCAAAAAATCGCGTTTCCTTCCAGATCCTAATGGCTTCCAACTTGATCATTAATCGAGACATATTAGGTTGTCCCATAAGTCTTTTCATTTTTGAGTTTTCGCTATAAAGTCACACACTTCTTATCTAAATAGATATCAGGATACCATTCGATAGAGCAAAGCAAGCTCTATAAGATGGTGTTTGTGCTTTTGCACCAACTTCGATCCACCTCGAGTTTTAAACCAAAATCTAAAAAGTTTAGGTGCTCAAAAAACTGAAAATTTTATATATCTTCATTCAGAAAAGTCCTACAAATCTCCACTCGCTCACGCACATACACTACATCAGACACTTATGCGCTGTTGCTGTATTTTTTTTATCAGCTAGAAGTCAAGATACCGAGAATTTCCATATTTTTATCAAAGTGAATCTGTGCTGTTCGTACACTAACAGATGCATACTACGAGCCCTTAGAAGTGCAATTGTAAATTTTTAGCTCTCTATAAGCTCTGATTTCCGAGAAATGTTGATTTAAGCGTGAAAATCCCGAGTGAAGAAAGCTAAATTTGATATTTCTCGTGAACCAGATCATATAGAGAGCCAAAAATCTACGGTAGTACTTCTTAAGGCTTTTAGTATACGAATGTTAGTGTAAGAACAGCACGGCATCACTTCGGTAAAAACATGGAAATTTTTGGTTTCTTGGTTTCTAGCTTGTAAAAAATACAGCAACAGCACGTATGAGTGCCTGATGTGGAATGTATATGCGTGAGCGAGTTAGAGATTTGTAGGATTTTTTTGAACGAAGATATTAAAAATTTTCGGTTTTCTAGCCATCCGAAACTTTTTAGATTTTAGTTTAAAATTCGAGATGGACCAAAGCTTGTGCAAAAGCATAAACGCCATCTTATAGAGCTTGCTTTGCTCTATCGAATGGTATCCTGATGTCTATTTAGGATAAGAAGTGTGTGACTTATTATAGCGAAAACTCAAAAATGAGAAGCTTGACAACCTAATAGTAGTACCTAAAATGTATTTGTTAGATTTTTCCCTGGGCTCGGAATTGAGGACCAACGATGGTCCGAAAATGCCAAAATGCCACTTTTCTCGAGTTTTTTTATCTAAAACTTGTTATTCCTCGGCTATAAGGGCACGTACAGAGGCAAATTTTGAGATTATTAAGCTTGTAATATACAGTGACATATGCGGGAGGGGTTTAGGGCGGAATACGCCATTTTTGAACTATCTTTCAAGGCGCAGGAAAATTTTTGGCGCGGGAAAATCCAGTAAAGGCATATTTCCGCATTATATGTGTCTACTGTTTGATGACCAAATTGGAAGTCAGTAGGATTTTTTTCGCAAAATCTGGTCGTGACAAAAATTTTTCGACTGTCAAACTTTATCTAGACTACAATTTGGTGGAGACATATCTTATCTACCTCATATCTTCTAGACTACAATTTAGTGGAGACATATCTTATCTATCTCATATCTATCTTAAGAAGTTATTGAGGATGTGAAAGGTAATTAAATAATAGTGGCTCAGGCGTGCAGGACCGAAATCTGAGATGACTTTTATCGCGATTGCTAACAAACATTAACAACAATTTTGATTGCAACTACTCACTTGCAAGAATATAATCGGTTCCTTAGGCAATTGTTTGATTAGTCTGATCCTTTGCTCCCACCTCCTATGTAGCCTATACAATTAAAACGACGGTGGTGATGAAAAATAGCAAAAATAACAAGCATAAGCAGGACATAGATGAACAATGTTGCAATCGTTGTCTTTATTGTGTTGATTACAGGCTTCGTAGGCGTGTGATTTGACTGAAACAGTAAAAGCGCGTGTGATCTCAAATGGCAAACATAAATGATATATTCACTAACAGGTAAGGTTGTCGTTCTCCGCAGTCACGTTGACTATCTTTACTCGCGAAGCTATTTTCACCAAACCTACATGAGTTCTGCTCCTTGCGATATTTCAACCACGATTATAGGCTTCTCAATTTTTAACGATTGAAACGCTTCATTGTCTCATTTTTATAGAACATGCTCTTCATTTGCGTTATCACCACCACTTTTAACATTTGAACGATCAGCGTAAATTAAACATACATACTGAGATTTTCTAACATTCTGCGTAGCACGGACAAGCTTCTAAAACTCACTTCATCATCGGACGAATTGCGCTCGACCACAGTGCAGCCACCTCGATTATTAAGATGTAAACTGCATGTAGTTTGCGGTCTTGTCTTGCACAGAAGAGTGAATGATCAACTCGTAACGTTGCTTACTTCTTCTAGCGCACTCACATCACCAAACTAAATCCGCCAAGAGGTAAAAGTGTATAGTGTCCTCCAACTTTTTTCAATCAAGTGGATATAGGCTGGCCGCGCTGCGCTAAGAGAGTTACGTTATTGCGTCCATTAAAGATATTACGTCGCATAAGTTCGTAGAGCTTCCATTCTCGTCTTCATTTCTATGAGGAGCGGTGGACCGAAGCAAGATGCGCATATCAGTGAGGACAGCTGAGCATATGCTCTTCCAAGTGAATTTATTGATCGATAGAAAGCTGATCTACTTCAATTTCTCCGCCTTTAAAGATAAAAATATCAAAAGTCAAAGAGAAACATTTTCGACATCCGCACATTTTTTTTGAAAAAAGGTGTTTTTGCGAACGTCTTTCCTGCCATTCATGGAAAATGGCGTCTGCACATCAATTTGAGACAAAATGAATTGGATTGCTTGAAAATGGCGAAAGTTGAACAGGATTTCGCCTGGACAAGACTTTCAGTTGAATGGGCAGGAAGTCTTGCGCTGAAAATTGCTGGACAAAAACAAAATGGTCAACCATACCTTGCACAACCAACTGCACCATTTTAAATGGAGCCATACTGCATAAAAGGCCCAATAGACAGGTTCAGTAAGTTTTCTGCGCGACATTTGGCTCCACGCAGCAAAGTTGTCAAAACCGCCCTGCAACTTGACCGGAAGGTACATTGGCACCCATTGTGCTGCAGTGATCTTGCTTCAAGAGACATCCCCTGGACTATGGCAAATCATATGAACGGCGTCTGCTCTGATTCTGGAGACAGTCTCAAGCCTGATTAGACGACTTCTTTGGGACAAACTCCCTGAACTTTTGCTAAACTCAACTGAAAATATAACAAGTGGCGGACGGTTGTGCGTAATTGTAAAATATCCATTACTAAATGTTTTTTGACAAAATTCTGTCATTTCGTTGGTTTATGGAACTCTACGAATTTGTGAGAATAATTCATGAATGGATGAGGCGCAGAAAAAACAAGCGGTGAAAGTACACGAAGAAGGAGGTGTGACGCGCAGTACGCACAGTATACACCTTGCGCATTCTCCGTACCCTCCGCGGACAGCTTATAGCAGGTTTAAACTGTTATATTTACTTTCTGTATTATGTGCAGGACCGCTCATTTTCACTTCCATGACACGTCTGTCCATCGATAATGCCGTCGCTCGCAATGGATCACCAGCGACATCATCTACCTTGAGCACAGAATCATTGAAGCGCTCCGAACCCATCGGATTTGCAACGGCGGAGAGAAAATTGCCCTCAACCGATGGTTGACCAGAATATGTGTTACGCGATCATGAATGGATAGCCCGCTGAGAGCGGCTTCGAACACTATTAGCAATTGTGATTTGACTTCAGCAACATGAATTTAAAACTAATCCTAAAATTTTGCATGACTATTTTCTTGATAAGCCAGTGTTGCAAAAACCAGCAAGCACCACTTAGCACTCACAAGTAGGTTTTCAACTCCAAAATTTCTACCAAATAGTGCATTTGCGTTTTTATCTCAAGAGCCTGCTTCTAATTGCTGTAATCATATCGCATCTGGTGACAAAAACTAAAAGTATCCAACAACACACACTTTTTGGTGATACTCCTCCGAATATTTTTGAATCAAGCTTTTAATTTCGCTATATGCAAGCTTTACAAGATGGATCCTTACCCCAAAAGCGACATTTCCTATTCCAGGAAAAAACTCCACCTGTTCCGTACTAAAGCACGCGTGTGCTTTTTTATATGGTTCGTTTCGAACATTTACTTGTAATGAGGTGTTCTTGTTCTGTAATTTGTTGAATGTTGCTTTCATTTCTTGACATTGCAGTCTTACTGCATCATCTTTCATTGTTACAAATGTATATAGCTGAATACATTTCAAATGCTAGTACCATTCAACTGCCACTCTCAGAGTAAAATCGAAATTCGTACCCTCATTCTTAACTCCTCATTATGAAAACTATACGTTCAAATATTTCTCAAACGGTTCGAGTACCTGGATGATTCTTCCGTCAGTGTAACTCGAGTAATCTGTGAGAATAATAGATTGCTAGGATGTGCATATGACCACATGTCAGTGGCGTACCGAGAGGCCCCCCACCCGAGAACGGGTCACGCAATTTTTGAAAGTTACTTACATGGGTTATAAAATTGTGCAATTGACTTGTCTGCACTTGTAAATAATTAGAATAATTTTTAAAATTTTCTGAAAATTCATTTCAGCCTTATAAAAAAATCTTTCAGGGGCGTGGCTGACGCCGCGCCCCCTTTTTTGAAATTTCGGGGTTCTGAGCCCGCGAAAATTCTAGCGAGCGTACCAAAAAGTTTTTCGGAGTGCGTGGCTGACGCATCTTCATCGAAAAAAACTTTTGTCGCCCCCCCCCCACGAGCCGAAATCCTGGGTACGCCACTGCCACATGTATATACCTTCTGTCCAGTGGCGTACCCAGGATTTCGGCTCGGGGGGGGGGGCGACAAAAATTTTTTTCTAAAGAAGGTGCGTGGCATTAGCCACGCACTCCGAAAAAATTTTTGGGGTGCTTCTCAAAACTTTTGCGGGTCCCCGACCCCTAAAATGTGGAAAAAGGCGGCGTGGCGTTAGCCACGCCCCCGAAAAAAAATTTTTTTACAATGCTAATTTGATTTTTTAAAAATTTTTACAAATTATTTTAATTATTTACAAAAATAAACAAGTCACTTGCACATTTTTATAACCCATATAAGTAACTTTCAAAAATTTCGCGACCCATTCTCGGGGGGGGGGGGGGGGCGCGCGCCCACCCCCCCCCCGCCCCCCCCCCCCCTCGGTACGCCACTGCTTCTGTCTCATTTAAAGTTAGCTCGATTTGAATGGTTCAGATCCCGCTCGGCCGCCTCGTTTTAGCCCTGCACTGCGTTTTTGAACGCATCGTCTGACATTTTCCCACGCTTGAGCGGTGAACATGCTTTGAGTAAACCTGTACTTGGCGCAGCACTTATATATTATCGACACCGTAGATCATTATAGACTACTTTTTGGAGCGGTTTACCACGTACTTAGATTGAGGTTGATTTTTTGCTCAAATCTATAATACTAGAGGCTTATCGGGTTCTGACCAAACACCTCCCATAGTTAAGTTAGATGAGTGGTAATTCTCATCTGCTGCTCATCAAGATGTGATGCGGTAGGAAGTGAATCCAAGGCGAGTTATAGTAGAAAGTAGAGTAAGATTTGCTACAAGAGGGGCCATGCGCGAGGACTGGCTCGACGCAGGGGTAGTACCGGGATGGTAGCTGGTTATTGTATCAAATACTTCTTGAACTAAACAGGCTATTTAGACAACAGAAAATGCGCAAATTTTGTAAAGCTTCCTCTTACCACCAATAAATCATAGAAACGACATCAATAAAAATTAATAAATACACTAATAAAAATTTTGAATTTCGTGTAAAGCCTGATATGAATTTGCTTCAGAGGAAAAATGCATGGAAATGCAAGACCAGCTTTTTAAATGTTTGACGTTGCGTACGCGCAATTCTTATTTCCAAGAAAAACAAATCAGAGTTCTTATTTTCGGCTCCGAAAACAAGAATTATGATTCTTAGTTCTGTGCTCTTAGCATCAGTAAACTTCTCAAATGTAAGAATCAAAGAAGATACTTTGTAATAACAAGTCTCCAGCACATTGAATTTATTTTTGTATAGTAACGCTGACGCGATATCCTTGATTTTGCACAATGAAGGTACCAAAATTGGCTCAAGAGGTATATCATAGAACTGTCGCAATATTTAACGCTTTATAAGTGGTGTAACTGATGTTGTGGATTTGAACACATGCTTTGTGCTTGCAGTTACCAAACCAGATGAAGGTTTATCCGAACCCTCAAAGTTTCTCTCCTGCGTTAACGATTATCTTTTTCAACCCTACCCTACGTTGTTGTGAATTGAGCAGGTCCACGGTTGAAGGCAAGACGATACTCGTTCATTATTGGTTTAAACTTTCTCCAATCACCCAACATAAAGCGTTAGGCATAGCTCTGAAGTCCCAGCTCCGAAAAATTAACAATGTAAGGAATCTTCTAAACCTTGAGCCTTGTCCTGCCCGCCCCCCGTACACTTTTTCCTCCTATATCCTGTGATGTAAATGACCTATAACACACAGCGTTAAGCATACCTTGTCTATGAAAGAAAGATCTTTCTCTACCTGCAATCTTACCCAAGTAAAGTGTTACCAAGCGAGCATTCTTGAAGCAAAAAAAAAATTATTTCAAGTTGAACATTTGATGCGAACTTGTGCAAAAAGACTAGTTCCACATAATGCATGATTCCCGGCACAAACATTTTAGGTCATATATATATTTTCCGGATGAACTTGGAGTTATTCTGAGTTTCACAGGGACCTAAAACGTGCACCAAACTCAAGGCCAACGCAAAGCTCATAATCAGCTGCATGTTTCGTGGTCTAGGTTTTTTGTGTGAATGACTTACTTGACTTATGCTTCCTACTTGGGGTAAATAACCCTGTACGGAGTATCCCGATATATCGTCGTTTCCCAGATCCATCCTGTCTGGGAGCATGTTAACGGGGTCTGCAACTGTGAGCTCAGAGTTGACTCTGAGTCTGAGCTGCATGCTTTGAAGGTTTACCACCCTCTCTGAGCGTCCGCACACTCAACTACGTGATAAGCTTACAATTTTACAATTCTGAATAGGGAATATCCAATAACTTCTCTCTTACTGCGTTTTCCCATGCTAGTTGATGAAAGCTTTCATAAACTTCACAACAAACAAAACAACAAGCTGTCAGTCAATCATACTGACTACTGCTTCACCTTGCTTCCATATTTTCAATTGCCTGTGGAGCAAGAAAACTCTTGTAGCAGCTTTTGCAGCCTCACTTACACAAACTGTGTGTCTCAAACTGCAAATTCTAAGTAACGCCAACCGTAATCAAAAGGGCAATAAAATGGGAACTGAGATGGAATTTTTTGACGTGCGACCGAGGCCAGTCATAAAAAAAGCAATCGTCGCGCAAAAGTGAAGCAGAGACGTCGAAAAAAGCGAAGAAAACCTTCAACGGTATGTAAACGCTTGTGAAAGGTGAACGAGCCTCCAAAAAAAGGTCGTTTGCTAAAGCAAGCGCACAAGCTTACAACCTGATCCAAACGAAAAATGGTGCCGATGTTGGCGCGGCGCCTTGCGAGCGGTAGAGAATACATCAAAAAAGAAATTTATCGGCCCTTCTATAAAAAAATTTCTCAACAAATTAGGTTATGAACATGAAAATGCAACAATCACAAACACCTTGTCAGCGCTATAGAGCACAGCTATAGAAATCATTTCTCCTTGAAAATCGAAAACTGAGTGCAAGAAAGAACTGAAACTTATAAGTATACATAACCTGTACAAACCGCAATGCGCTAGAACTACAAATTAATAACAAATACAATAACAACAAAATATATTATATATAGTTAAGTCTCAACAGCTAACTAAGTAAATGTCATGTGGATGCAGCATCATCGCTTCCGTTCCCGTTTCCATTTCCATTTGAGTTTGCATTTTGACTCTCCCACATTTGGTAGTAAACGCCTTTCGCAGCTATCAAGTCAGAATGGCTGCAATGATACATCATCAGATACAAACTAAGAAATTTTGATTTTGATGATAAATCTCACCTCCCCCGCTCTATAATTCGACCCTTGTCCAGTACCAGTATACAGTCAACGTTAACTACTGTACTTAATCGATGCGCTACGACTACCCCGGTCCGAGTGGCACATAGTTCTTCTAGACATCGTTGTATTGCACGCTCAGTATTGGTGTCTAGAGCGGATGTAGCCTGAATTTAATCATCTTTAGGCAAATAAAAGAAAGGTGTAAATAGAAAATGTTACCTCATCCAAAAAGATAAACTGTGGCTTTTTCAATATTGTTCGAGCAATAGCAACGCGCTGCTTCTCACCACCTGACAGCTTCAAACCTCGTTCCCCTACAAGGGTGTCATAGCCTGAAAATATTCAAGCACTAAATGAACGAACTTTTCTTAAGATAGCAAATCAGCTTGTTACCAAATCAAGCTTGTTTTTGTTGAAACAAGCAATTCTTTTTGTCTTGCTGTTTTAAACATTTCGAGCCAATTACATTTTACAAGCCAAGGTCTGACCAAGAAACTCTCGAACATTACACTCATTTTATCCAAGAAAACAAGTTTTTCCAAGCAATAAGAAGAGTAATGACCAACCATCTGGAAGAGACATGATCTTATCATGAATCATGGCAGCTCTTGCAGCATCGTAGATCTCTTCGTCGGTAGCCGTCGGACGGCCAAATCGAATATTATACCTGAAACAAGGTATAAGAGAAAATGCAATAATCCTGATTGGAGTTTTTGCATATTCTGCAGAATTATCGACTTCAGAATGTAGCGTTACTCAAAATGATGTTTCTTGAGGGGCAAGCTAGCATTTTGAAGAAAATTCACATTCCAACAGAATGTTGGAGTTAAACGTCGTGAACTACATAAAAATGAAGAAAATGTTAGCACTAAGGTAGGTGGGAAGAAAGTGCCTCAAAAGCAACCTAGTTTATGTCCCAAACTCTCGAGATCGTAATGCGGATCAAAAAAAAATTACATGCCGAAAAAGGGGAGCTGTCTCAAAAACATACTTTATAGTATCATTAAACAGCACAGTGTCTTGTGGCACAATTCCAATTTGTTGACGCAAAGATCGCAGCTTTAGACTTCTCACATCCAAACCGTCATACGAAACGCTGCCTTCAGGGCATTCGAAAAGTCGAAAGAGCAGCCTAATCAATGTGCTTTTTCCACTTCCAGACGGGCCGACCTGAACGAACTGTTTTCTAAAAACTCTTATCGAAAGAAAATCACTCATACTGACCAATGCAACAGATTGTCCACCCCCAACATCAAACGATATTCCATTCAGCACAATGCGATTCTCGCTATAGCCAAAAACTAGGTTGTGCACTGAGATTTTGCCCTCCGTTGGATTATATTCGATAGCATTAGGACTGTCACGCACCTATAATGACACGATTAGCCCTTTTACTCGGCGGTGGCTGTAAATAGAGATACTCACATCAACATCTTCATTCATCAGATCGAACATATTTTCCATATCGATGAATGATTTTTGGATTGTTCTGAAAGCCACGACATGAAAAACTGAACTTATAGAATCTTTAGAGTCCTAGACACACCTGTATACCGTTCCAAAGAAATTGAGCGGTGCATATAGCTGGAGAATGTACGTAGTGAATAGAACGTAATCTCCAACCTGCAAAAGTTTTCATCAAACGAATACTGTTTTCTTACGACAGGCAAAAAAACAATTTTTTCTACTTGCAAAAGCACGAAGTGTAAGATGTGAAAAGCTATCTATAGATCTATGCATTTGAAAAAACCGGCAAACAACTAACAAAGAGAAGAGATATCTGGGGTCACAAAAGCATATCAAAACATCATCTTCAGAGGCTACTTTGTTTACTTTCAAACCAACACACAAAATCTAAAGCTAGACGCAGCTACTCACAGTCAGCTCCTTATCCACAGTAATCAAGTACGCGACCAGCACAGAGCCAGCTGTCATTCCTAGCCCGATAATTCCATTCTGCAGAAAATTCAAGAGAGCTAGAGAAGCATTTGAACGCCACTCAGCGAGCTGGAAGCTGTAAATTGAATTTTTGCACAAAACTCAAGCGTTCGACTACCATACTGACCATTCTATAGCATGTCGGAATCTGTCCACTTCAAACATTTCATTACCATAATACTTCACTGTCTCATAGTTGAGCAAGGAATCGGTAGCTATGGCACTGCTGGCGTTCTCCTTCTCATTCATGTCTCGACGGAATTTTGTGCGCCATTCAGTGACATAGATGGTAACAACTGAATTAGTAAATAAGAAAGAAAGCTCCAGACAGAGCAAACCCAACGCTATAAATTAATTTTTACATAAAGAAGGCTAACGGAGGTTAAAATTTCGTCACAAAGTGCAAAAATGCTCTTTTCCAGACGCAAGTAGTCTTGCTAGAGTTTTTCTACTTCAATTCAAGCAAATCAGATCCATAAATTTCAACCAAAACAACCCAATTCGACGAACGAAAACGAACCCAGATACAGCGCCATTGTTACCAATACTATTCCTCCAAAGTAGAAATTGAATGTAGAGAAGAAAAAGACCACAGCGATTGCTATATCAGTGAGAGTCGGAACAATATTGAACAGGATGTAGCTAAAAATTCAAAAATTACTGTAAATTTTGAAATTCAAAAAACTGTCAAAGGCCTCTAATTTAAGCCTAGAAATCGTGGACAAAGATGTTGATATAAAAAAACTCAAAATTGTGTGAAATCATCAAAAGTGGCAAAGAGAAACAACTTTCATTTCACTTACTTCAGTATACTATTCACAGAGCTGGTGCCCCTATCCATAACGCGCAGCACAAGCCCAGTTTTACGCGATAGATGCCATCTGAGAGACAAGGAATGCAGGTGCGCGAATAATTCTACCTAAAATGGAAAGGGATAAAAAAGGAATAACAACCCTTGAATTTTCTAAGATAGAATGAAGCGAAAGTAATCAAACCTCCAGTTCTCGAGTGGTATACTGCTGTACTGGGATCCACACATACGATCGCATAGTATTAAGAAAGCCACCCATAGCTTAAAGAAGTCATTAATGAAGATAAAAAACGTTAGTTTGAGAGAGATACCTCCATTGCCTTGCAGAAACTTCAGAAATGTTGATATGTAGATGAGGGAGTACTTGAAAGTCGCTGGGTTTGCAAGTCCATCAACTAAAGCAGGATAAGAATGAGCACACATAGGTACGAAAAATGAGGTAAAAGGTATAAAAAACAAGGTAAATATGAAAACATTAGTCAAAAAGGTTGAGTAAAGTTGCTACTTACCTATCCATTTACTATACAAAGGAAGAGCGACGTTTATAAGGCGACCAAACAAAAGTAAGAGGAGACAAAAGGCCACACGGAGCTGGAGAGCGATACTCTTCTTCGGCCATACATATGGTAAGATCAAAGACACTTTGTGAGAGAAGTTTGACCATGTCTGCAAAAAATAACAGATTTAAAAGCCGATAGAAAGATTCAAAACCACCAACCGATTGAGACTCGGTGCGAAGAGTTGACAAACACATGGTAGACACGAATAGAATCAAAGTAGGAACTAAATCCATGAGATAAAATACAAACTCTCCATTTTTGTAGGTCCTAAAAGCAGCAGGTTAAGTGACATCAATGAAAAATTTGAAAAGAGGTAATGATTTTGCAAATCTATGCTTACTTGGTAGTGAAGTATTCATTCCATGCAAACATCGGAATCAGATCAAAAATTACTGCTAACGAGTATGTTAGCGCCAATGATGCAGGAAAGTATGACAAATCTCGCCATTTGATAAAAGAACACAAATTTATGATCCAGAATACCTTAACAAACAGACTATTCCAACTAACAATAGAAATTATCCACTTACCACTCTGGCGACTGAGAAAGCCATCAAGGTATGAGTGTACTGATGAACGTAGAACGAATAAAATATGAATGATATAGAAACAGCAATCAGTACGAATTTGCAAACGGCCGCAGTCAAGAAAGGGACAGGAAGCATGCCTAAATAAAATTTAGTTGTTCCAGTATTCTACTGCCAACTCGAATTATCTCTTCGAGGTGATCTGAACTTGGCTAATCAGCGTATGGACACTTCGAGTTTTTCTCAAACAAACTAAAACCAACAACAATCGACCGAACGCAGATTGCCTAAAGGCGAAATTCTGATCTTTTGAGGGCCTAAGAGGACCTTAGGTTCAACCGAATCAAAACAGTTGGGAGTTCGTTCCAAATACGGACACAATTGGCAACACTGTTTCACATATTATATCATGGTGAAAACAAAAAAAAATTAATCAAAAAAACCAGGTGAGGCCCCTCAAAAAAGAAAAATTATAAAAAGCGAAGTACAATGAAGTGGAAGTATTTAGATACTCACCAACTCTCTGATAGTGAAACCCTGTCCTTGGCAAGCTGGCCACAATAAGGTTCAATATGGCGAGGCTTGTATAGACGCCAAACCCGATGAGCCGCTGGCAGCTAGGCCGTATAGGCCACCCATCTTTGCACTGGTCAAAATCATGGATACTGACCATGACGACTCGCTGAAAAGGGGTTGAAAACAGGTTGCAAAAATCAAAGAAAGCCAAGCCATTGCGCGATCTGTTCAGTAGAATACCAGAACGACATCAGTTTCAGCATAAAAAATCGTAATACGGCAGAAAGGAGAATGGGTTATTGATCAAGCAAACAAAGGAAAGACCTCGAAAGACGTTTTGTCAAGCACGAATTTTTATTTCGACTTGCTCCTCCACCAAACAAATCATTAGAGATGATCTGATATGACGAAAGTTTATAAGAAGATAAGGATGCCCATAAATTCAACCACAGCCCCATTAAAATGATAAGCATCACAGATAAAAAAACCGTTGAATGAACAGAGTTCGATTACATTGTTTATCAGAACACAGAAATGACGTTTAACTATAAAGTTAGGAGATAATCAGTGAGCAACAGCTCGAGCAACGGCTTATATTCGACTGCGGCGAGCAAAGGATGACAAATGCTTGCTCTTATGCATTTCACAATACATCAGCAACATAGATTGTAATCATTCAGCTATCGTTGTGCTTTGTAGTTCTGTCTAAGCTCATAAATATTTATTATAGAAAGTGCAACACTGAAATAACAGACAGAAGCAGTCTCGTGCTATTCATTTGGGACGTCACTTTGGAGCAGACAAAAAATTGCCTAATCAAAAATCTGCTGGTCTTTTGCACCAACGGCATGTTTTGTTACATAATAATTTAAAGCTCTGCATTGCTCCTATAGCGTAGATTCTACCGTCATATTTGATACTCCTTTTGGATTCTCATGGGTTTTATATTTAATTATTATGGTTTTATTAAGACCAGCCAGTTCTCATAAAATGGACGCCCCTTTCTTTTCCAACGACAGTATCATTAAATTGACATTTTTTCTTGTTCGAAGACAATGGTTTTATATTTCATATATTTCCTATTTATTATCCAGAAATAATCAATTATCTCAATTATGGCAATCATCAAAAGGATAAATCAACACATCTCTTCTTTCTTTCAGAAAATGCAGATAGAAAGATATCTGAAGTGCTAATTTTGTTTTACCAATAATAGGGCACTTTACGTTATTATCCTGGGCTGAAATTGTACTTAGCAACTTCGCTCATATCCAAAATTTCTCATTCCGTAAGAAGGGTTTGTCCATATTTTTCTTCGAACTCAAAAAAAAATCTACGGTTCATACAGACATTTTGGCTGACTCAAGTCTTACAATTAGTAACATCCAAGTCCGTACAAAAGGTACACTATGTAGGCAAAACATAAATATTTGCCAAAACAATGCATCTTTTAACAAATTAAGAAATAGAAAATTGAGAAGCCAAGCAAACGTTTGCCTTATAGCGCCAATTAAGCGGATTAAGGGTACAAAACATAACTTTCAGATCAGCAAGATAGAAGGTACATGAGATAATGCAATACTGCGGATGGCCTTATGCGGTTGAACTAGAAATTTGAGTTTCTCACGGTCTGGAAAATCGCAGGACATGATTTCAGCAGGCACTTCCAAGCTTACGGACAATGTGCAAAAGTTCTGGTTTGTGTGTATTATATAGAATGTCCAAAAACTATGCATAAAGTGGTCGTTGATAACTCTCTTCTAAATACTTTTGCGAAACTTCAAGTATGATATAAAACCGAGTACCCAAAAAACCCGGCAATAAATTCTAAATTACACTGCCAAACAAGAAAACTCGGTAGCTCTTTACTAGTGTAGGATTACGACATGAAATTCCAAGAGTCGTTTGTGCTATGAACAAATCTTGCTTCAAGAGGAGTTAGAAAATCTCTTACCAATCAAATTAAGGATACTGCCAAGTATGGGTATTGCACTTAACAATAATCTTACAAATCTTATGCAATGTACACGGCAACAGTGGTTTTCCTTATGACTACAAAAATCTAATCACACCCTAATTACTAGTTTAGAAAACCTGTGCAAAATAATCCGATGAAATCATAAAGTTTAGAACTCTATCATAACTTCATCATCTGTACGTAAATGTTAGCTGATTTACAATAGAGCTTCATGCTTAAAGTTTCTACTGTGACTTGTATGTGCTAATGGGAAGCTAGATGCAAGACTGTGGGACAAGGTTTCCAGTCATCAAACCGTGTGCACATTCTTTGACACTCGATGTATTAGTTGTTTCAAAAGTTTGTCCGATTTGCGATTTTTTCATCCAAAATCTTATAACTTTTTTTCAAACTCGACAATTTTGAACATTAAATTTTGTTGAATTGAGCGACTTTATGGCTATCACAAGCATTGCATCTCATATAAGGAAGGCAAGCGAGAGAGAAGAGAAAATTCTTCGAATTCTGCAAGGTTTTCTTCAAAGCCGTCCAGTTTAACGTACTACTGTTTACAGATGAGAATGGGCAGACATATTTGGCTGCCATCATTAAGTAGCCTATACTTCAGAGGCTCTTTTGCGGCTGGAAAGATTTCGGGTTATCTCTGCTGCATAGAAATTTCTGCGAGCAAATAAAAAAACCGATTATTTGAGTTCTCCTCCGCGTGCAAAAATGTGCCGACTTTCTATATTTGATTTCTTCTTGCTGTCGCAAAAAAAGAAAGCCAATTGGTCGAGGTTCCTGCTTGTTCTCGCTTTGTTCTAACCTATGCAATATTGAATACATCACCTGTCGCTAAATGTGGATTGCTGTCGCTTGTTGAATAACTGGACTTGTCTTCTATCTTTGAAAAAAAAATTGAAAAAGTAAGACATTCTCTACATCGGAGGAAAAGTGTGCTTATGTTAGCCCATTACACCCTCACCCGTTATGAAATATTGCATATTTAGTTTTACGATTACTGCAGAAGTTCCTGCATGGAAACTTTTTCTTGGGTATGACAGCATTTTGGCAACTTTGCTTCGGGCTTAAATTTCATCATTAGAAAGTTGATTCGTTAAGCATCAGTAAGCACTAGAAAGAGCAGGAAAAGTGCCTCTTGTTGATGTTTATAACAATACCACAAGTGCAAAACCCTAAGAAAATAGTTGCGTTAAAACAAAGCAATTGAAAATCGGACAGAACTTTTGAGACAGCCTAGTATGTTATGAAGAAAAAAAAATTTCTGCCTTAGGATCAATAATACCCAAGTTATTATCACAGAAGGAAGAGATAAGAAAGTGGTAAATTATAGGAAAACGAAAGAAGTCCGATGCGCTTGATAGTCAACACTGAGAATTTGGAAGGGTGATGGTATAATGTGAGTCATAATCCGACAGCAAGTATACATGACCTAGACAAGCGCGGCAGCGTTCGCTTTTGTGGTTGTTGGCACCAGGCGAAAGCGATGATTTACCGCTATATCAGATTTGTTATAAACATTTAGTACATAGGTGAGAACTAGAAAAACACTGATAAGGAGACAACCACATCACACTTCACTTCCTTTCCTGACAGCTGATAATACGTTCAAACACCAAACATTACATAGTAAACTCTTTTATGGAATTTCAAAAAAAAAAGACTGTAAGGGCTGAAGCTTTGAAAGAAGCCAACGTTCCGGCCGAAACATTGACAATACTTGAAAAGGAAAGTCAGATGTTAAAACACAGAAGACGTGTAAGATATAAATAGAAGATGAGGCCGAGCAAATGGGAGAAAACCAATTTTTCAATTTGAAGAGAGTCGAAGACATTGAGAAGGAGCAATGGAACATCTGTTCCGTGAAAGTGAACTCAGAAGGATTTGAATATGTCCTCGTACAGCAAGAACTCTGGTTATCTGACAGCGTGTTGTGCCAAAAGCAGAAACTGATAGATACAAAACAACAACTTCTACAGAGCATTCGCTCTGTTGAAAAAATTCATCGTAGATAAAACTGATGACGAAAAAATGACCTATTGCCTCAGTATTGGCTTGATCGAGATGTAATCTGCATGCAGATTCAAACAAAAGGAAATGAGCCAAGACCTAAAATTAGAGCAATTTTACGACTAATTGAATTCGCAACTATTTTTCTCTAGCCTCTCATCTGAAGCAGCAAAAAATTCAATATTTGCGATGATATATAGTTGCAAACTAAATTGACAGAAAGATGGTTGCAATTACAGACACACAATGCAAACAATAAGAGCTTGAAGGAAAAGATTGCGCAAAAGAGCGCAATGAACATGGAAAAAAAATCACACAAACGTGCGAAAACGCTAGAACCGGTTTCAGGCACCATCATAATCTCAGTCATTAAAACAGTATGATTACCATACAGCTAGTTGTGTTTACATATTGAGCCACCAAACTATTCCAAGAGAACAATGCCTAAGATTCTCATTATCATAAACTGCCTAGCAACGCGCACAAACGGTTGTCGATACATAAAATAAGTCAGATGATAAGTGCTGTGGTTGAACCCAAGAAGAAACAGATGTAAAAAGTGTAATGCAACGAATCAATCAAAAGAACTTCGATCTCTGACTTGTAAGCTACCGATGATCTGGACAAAGTTCAGCGCACAATGTCAACATTGCGATTAGTCTAAACTTATGACAACACTATTCGCTGATGGTCTCTAGAATAGAAAGTCGATAAAGTCCAGAGACTCATATGAAGAAGGAATAAATGGCTTTGGCAAGAATCAACTCTGTGAGAAGTATTCGGAAAATATGTCGATGTAAATTCACTAATAAAACGCAGCAAATGAACCGACTTTGTCAACTATCCCATCTTCACCACGCCTTTAATGATGCTCTTTGGATAAAAAGCTGATATTAGTCTGTAAAACAATTTCAAAAAATGCTGATATGACTGATAGAACAGAAGCGCTGCGGACAAAAACTTGAACAAACTCACGGTTGTGAAAGGAGACTCATTACGTCTTTACGAGCTTCTCATCAGCAAGAATAAGAAACTGTACAATAGCGAGGAAAGAAATGCCAGAAAAACGAGAATATTTGCGCGCTTATGAACGCTCAGAAGAAGAATATTGGTGCAATGAGTCCAAAACAGAACTGACCAAAGAGAAAAAAATTTAAATCTTTAAATCAAATCGGCATTCTGCATTTTCCACCAAAAGTACGCACAGAACAATACGGCATTTCGGATTAGTGAGTCAAACATTTCTTTGAAGAGAAATACCACAGGGAAAACATGTCATGACGATGAATTTGGATCGGCATCTGAAGTCAGCTAATAGAGAGGATAATTACTATTTATGTAAGGAAAACTAGGCTGATAGGTATAAGCAGAAAGAAAAGAAAAAAAACGCAATCTCTTTTAAGTATGAAGATGAAATGAGCTTGAGTGATCTCTCAAACATTTCAAGGTAAAAATCGTTCAACGATATCAGGAGAACATATAAATGGCACTAGTCAATATGTTTATTATATCCAAAACAACACAGTTCATCACAGCAGTATCACTGTTGAAACAACAAATAACAACTGACACGATAAAAAAAGCTTCAAAAATATTTTCAGAAGGTAGAAGTTGAGGAAAATAACAGATCAACAACAACTATTTACAAGTGGACAACAATCAAAACATAGCAGAACCTGCGCTAAAATCAAGCTAGTAGTTTTCCAACCATGCGGTAGAACGGCGAATCTTTTCACTCTTACGCGTACTTGCCACTTTCTTGACTGATGCCCATATCTTCGTCATACGTTGTACAAAATCTTCGACGAGAAAAGTGTTGGACAAATTGCTCACAGCTTTCCCAATCAGAGTCAAGATCGAGATAGTGGTAGGAAGAAATGTTCCAGCTTTATCTTCGGACAAGCTCGTGACTAAAGAAGCGAAAATCAGCCTTTGTTTGGTAACTGGTAACTGTGAAGAATGGCAAAAAATATCCTTCATTTACCAATAAGCGGTGCGCAGCATTCACAAAGACTTAGCAATGACTCCGGAAGCTCAAGAGGGGATACAGTAGCAGTTGCAGAAGAAGTGATTACAGGGAAATCGAATGGATTTGTCTATAAGTGAATATATACTGGAAACCTAGATGCTCAAAAATTTTTGGTGCTTATAACCAAGAATATCTTACCATAAAATAAGATAAGGAAAGATAACTTAAACAGTGCATAGGTATCAATTTCAAGAAGAAACAAACAAACAATGTCAGGCCCTGGCCACTTCGCTCAAAAGCGCCCAAAAGCGCGCAAAAGCGCTCGAAAGCGCGCAAAAGCGCCCAGATTTCTCTGGTGTCTCTTCACTTTTTTGTGAGGAGAGATGAGAGAGAGTGAGGAGAGGTTAGAGAAGTTTGAGCGCTTCTGAGCGCTTTTGAGCGAAGTCTGGCCAGGGCCTCACATGCATATAGATAAAAAATCAAAGTAAAGTAAGTTTTCTACCTTTGAAAATATTCTCGATAGATTAATGTTAGAGGAAAGCTTTTCCGCGGAAAAATCAAGATTAGCTTCCTCAGAACGAAAGTTTCCCATCGACTTATCCACCGAATAGGCCTGAAAATGGAGAATACATTACAGAAGCTCTATTAGATAATGGACAGCTTGCCTTGATAAACAGCTCGATGGTCTCAAGAAAGCGTGCAGAATTCCAAGCTGGTTTTCGCGATCCGCTCAGAAATTTGATGAAAGAGTTGAAGAGATCAACGCTTGTGCAACAAAGATCAGGGTAGCTAGTCAGCAGCATAGAAATGATTGATAATGAGAAGTTGCGAACCCTATAAATTCTTACCCTCAAACTCTTTCTAATCATAAGTTATGAAAAGCTGCAATCAATCAAGCTAATCAATTCAAGAAAAGGCAAAGGTTTTCTATTAAAAACATGCAGAATGAGCTACCCTGCTTCGTTATGTGTCAGAGCGCGAAGAAGATGTGCCACGAACAAAGTAAAATGGGCAGCCATAGCATGAGAAGAAACTGAGCATATTACGCGCAAAAGCGATCGCAACTGACCGTTCAAAGCAGGATCATGACCCTATAAATAAAACATCCATTTATACAACAATGATGGCTTACGAGAGACTTACACAGTCTGAAACTAGGCGAGCTATTGCAGGAACCAATGTCCTCAGATGTGCCTCAATAAGGTCCGGACGAGAAGTTAATAACTGCTTCGTTCCCATCAAAGCATCTCTCCGAACGCTCTAAACGAAAACCGAAAACAAGTGGAATGCAGTAACAGTCCTCCAAACTGAGCGCTTTTTCACTCACCTTATTAAAATGACCGAGCTGCTTGCACAACTCATCTAGCGAAAGACCCCGGAAAGAGAGCGGCTTTTCAGAAGATTCGGACTTTTCCTCGAGTTGAGAAATAAGCACAACCTTCTTTGCTAAGAAAAAATTGAAATAAGTTGATAAATTAGAACATTATCCCCTCACTTTGAATTGTAGTATCAGTTGTGGTAGTTTTCTTGAGTTTTTTGCCAACTTTCAACTTGACCTTCTTGAAATCGGCATTCTTCTTCGCCTTCTTTTTGGAGCCCATCTAAAAATGCACTTTGAACATAAATTATAGGAAAGATAACTACACTGCAGCAAAATACTCCAAAAAGCGCTTGGTAAAGAACTTTTGAACATATTAAAGGGATTGCGACTGGAGCGCGATCGCTGCTGCCGCGAACGAGCAATATTTACTAGAAAAAATGTCGTATGCTTATTTCATTCTGAGATCCAAGTAAAATAGATAGTGAGAACTATGCGCTTCTTGATGTCCGGCTACCAGTCAGTGTCATCACACACCTTTTCACCAGATCCAGACTAAGGATTTGCCAATTCAACCAGCTGCTTCCCGAAAACAACTCAGTTGTTTACAATTCCCGCACTTTCCGGTTCTACTTGTTAGTATTGATCAGCCACAGCATGTTTACCAACAGATCTCAGATTATCAGTACACTCAACGCGAGCAACAAGTCCCCTCCTTCAAAAAAATTCATTTTAGTCTCGGGGGAAGCATTTTTCTCCATATCAGTGCTTTTAATTATGCGGGGCCACATTTGTTTGTTTCACGTGACCATGGAAGAGATTACGGTTGCCAGATAATCAGCGATTATCACATTGGCCACATGTCAAGAATATCTTTGCAGAATACCTGCGTTCTGTGTGGGTTTAGCCACACATCAAGATGCTTGTAGTAATGTAACACTCTTTGACCATATGTAGAATACATCTTCCTTTAATATGTCGATGTCTACACATGCTCAAAGGCAGTGCCCCGCCAAAATTTCCTTTACCAATTTTTACCTTTTCGAAGCCTTCTCGCCATGAGAAACCCATATCTGGATTTTTCAGCGCAAAAATTACGAAAATGAGCCTTTTCCGAAGCTTTCCAGGTCCGCATTCAGTGGAAAATACTGCAAGTGAGCGGGGCTCGGAACGAGAAGCGGGATGCGGAAGACTTCCGGCGTAATACCCCTGAATGCGGATCTGAAAAGTTCGGAAAAGGCCCATTTCCGTCATTTTTGTGCCCTGAAGAGCTCAGATACAGTCGAGTAGATTTAGCGGTAAATATAGTGTGCTTGCACAGAAGGTGAAATGCGGTGAAATTTGCGCGTGAACAAGTAGCCACGTCAGTAGCGCGGGTATCTTGCGCGCGCAATTGGCCGGCATCACAGTCGAAACTATTTCTTCACGCGCCAATTTTACCGCATTTCACCTTCTGTGCAAGCACACTATATTTACCGCTAAATCTACTCGACTGTATGTGTTCATCATGGCGAGAAGCCTCCGAATAGGTAAAAAGCTGGACGGCGAAATTTTGCGGGGACACTGCCTTGGAGCTATTTTTTGATAACATAAAGCAAGCATTTGATGTGGCTAAATCTACAGACAAGAGCAGCTGTCCATGTATGGTATGGTGAGTGACGATGCCATTCAGCACCAATCGAAATAGCAGACTCCAGTGCAAAAGGTATCAAAATTTCAACCATGCAAAGTTTCAGTTGATACTTCAATATACTCAGTTCTCAGCTTGAAGAATACAAAGGTTTAGTCAACCCTGTATTAAATGATATAGCCCAACAATGACAATTGCACATCTCAGACATTCATTCCAGTATATTTCATAATCTACACTATTTCATAGTCATGATATTAGTATAAAAGCGCTACATTCATGCCAGATGATTTCCAAAATTCATTACAAAATCATGCTTTGTCAGGATAAGTAGCACATGTATAGGATTGGGCGTTTGTAAGTAATGGGAAGCGGAACTAAGCATATGTATATACAATATACGCGGGGAAAAATAGTCAAATTTTAAGCTTTCTTTTTAGGTCCAAAATCTCTTCTCTGCGAGACTTCCGAGTGTCTGCAGGCGCAGATGCTCTGGAAATAAGCCTATCTTCCTTTATTCGTCTAATAAGTACAAAAAATACTGTACCACCTGCTTCTGTTCTTTATCAGCCCATTAGCAACAGCAAGTTCATATTCACGATCGGACAACTTTGTGGTGTCTACGAAAGCTCCAAGTGCTCCTCGTCGGGGTGTGTATGTTACCTTTTCGCGAGCTAAAAACGTTCAGTGCTATAGAAAGAATATTTTATTTGGTGCTAGAACTGACCACGAGGCGGAGCCATCCCTTTTGGAGTAGCCAGAAGGTTCAAAGTAGGTTTGTTCAATGGGACCGTCAGTCCAATAATTGGTCTTCTCGATTTACTCGACGTTTTTGTTCTCGATTTCACGTCTCTCTGCCAAATTATAATTAAAAAACAGATACATGCACAATAAATCCTTAGAAATATGTCAAAACAAACCTCATCACGAGGTTTGGACTTCTTCAAAGAAAAAGATGTGACAACCGTATCTGCTGTGGTGATCTGCGAACAATGACCGTTTTATCAAACATTTACGAGAATTTTAGACCAATTTTCTGAATTTCGATCTCTTACCTTGCTCTGAGTTGGACGGAAATCTTCAACTTTTCCGAATCGGAAAGAATTTTCAGTCACCGAGGTTTTCGCTTTCGAAGCGTCGAACACATACCTGGAAACAAAATTAAGAGAAGAATAAGTGAATGGCAAAACGTCAAGGGACGTTTTGCCATTCATCTATATGGAAAAAACGAATATATGCAGTGGTTGCCGAAGAACTTCCGATAGTTTGAACTTAACTTACCCAGTTTTCTTCTCAGATTTGGCGGAGTTAGCTTCGCGTAAAGGGATTCGCGATGCTTTGGGAGTGGCCAAACGCTGAAACACGATTTATGCCGAGTAGCCTTTATTAAGGTAATTTACATACCTGAGCAACCCTTGGCACAGCTTTCATATTGTTTTCGTGTTCTTTAGCAAGTCTCTCGTGTTGATCATCTATGGATTCCATATGTTCAAAAAGGCGAGCATGTTGACGAGCAAATTTTGCTGTCACTATAAGTAAAATAGATAGCGCAAGGAAAGTTGTTGTATAGGATAGAAGTTATAAGGAAATAATTCTTCGACTTGCCATTGCCCCTCTCTTGCTTTTTGATTGAGCGTGAAGCAGACGATACGCCTTGAAGAACATCTTTTTTCGTTTTTGTAGGGATAGCTCTTTTAGTTTTAATATTATTACTGGGTTGAGGCGTCTTTGCAGCACTTAATGCGACGGTGCTTTTCGAAGCGTCCGATTTTACCGAAACCAGCAGTTCCTAAAAACAAAGGATAAACTCCTTTGGAATGGCAGAGAAATGCCATTGAGCAAAATCCCGGCGACATTCGGTTTCTACGATTCTGTTGAAAATAATGCGCCATATATACTGAAATGAAAAAATGCTAAACCTTTTTAGAAGCACTTTTTGCTACTGAAGCAACTGTTGGGGCGGCGAAGCCACCACGCGATCTGCCGCCTGATGCTGGACTTGGCGTTTGCAACCCACTATGTATCACTTTATTCGGGGTCCTTTTTGTAGCTGAAAACTGCAGTCTCCGCGAACTTGCGGAATTTGGAGTGCTAAAACAGCATTGTTTAAGCACTTTCTAGAAGGAATATTAGCCGGATAACCCACCTGATTTCTGCGCGTTTCTCGATTACTGTAATAATTTCTTCGGCATCATCCATCGGAGAGACTTCTTTTACTTCGGCACTACCTACAGCAGAGTTATAATGGCACCGTCAGAATTTTGTTAGGGCACACAAACCTTGGTGTTTCACAGACTTGGGATGATTTTCTTGAGTTTGATCATCGGAAAGAGAACCTAAAAATTTAAGTGTAAGTAATAACACAATACAAAAGATATTGTGATATGTTCAATGAAATAAGATAATTCGTAGCATACCGGACAAGTTAGCTTTGTTTTTTATCTTATGATCGGTCTCATCATCGGTAAGGAAGTCTAAATTCGTGACTGTGAACATGGTCTCTGCAAAAATCGACATACCGTTATGATCACCAGTTTTGGGCTGTCGTGATTTCTTAGAACTAATAGGTGTTTGCGCACGGACTGCTTCACGAAGATTTGTGGAATCCACTAGTGTTTCTTTCATTTCTGAAATGCTCATATCATTCTGGGTTGCAAATCAGGTCAGATTTTCCGGTTCGAAAATGGCAGAAAAATATACCTATGTCGTCATTTGAACGTCTACCCTTTGATTGTCGGCTACTTTTTCGATGACTTGCATCGACAAGGGGAGCAACACATTTAGTTTCGGGTGTGACTGCAGAGTTAACTTGAGTTGTATCTAAACAATGATTCCATGTGCAAACCAAAAAAGGCATGTATATGTAACCAAAAACCAAAATTAACCCGCAATAAGTTTACCTTCGTCGTCACTTTCGATGTATTCGAAAGTTTCGTTCAATCTTGTATGACTTCTACGTTTCGTGGAAGTCTCTTTTTTCTTGATAAGCTTTTCCTTCGTAACTCTTTCCAATTTTGTAAAAACCTAGGACTTTGTTTTTTGACTCAACACACCAGGGAAACTTATAGTCACCAACCTCACATGGAAGCTGCTCTTCTCTTGTGACTGGACTCACAGTCACAGGATCTACGGTGCTATTTGATGCGCTTTCAAAGTCGACAATGTACTGGAAAGAAATCATCCGTATTCGATAGATTGCTATAAGCGAGAAAAAGAACATTTAAGTACCTCAGTAAGTCTCGCGAGAAGGTCTGCTTTTTTACCAGCAATAGAAAGCCGACGCCTGTGGAGTTCTTTTTGCAAATCTTTCACTCTTAATGTCGACACACGTTTTCCAGAAGGGAGGCAAACCTCCGCGTCCATCTCCTAAAAATCTTCGAATATGAGAGATCTTCAACTTATCAATGCATAACAAAAAAAAAGAACTCAAAAGCTCACCTGTTCCGCTTTTGAAATGACGCTGATTTGAATTGCACGCGTTCGCGCCATGGGACGCGCCCCGCAGGAAATCTCGTCCGCGAAACCGCGCTCTAATCTACCATTGCAACTCGATTTTACTTTGAACTCGCAATTTTGGTTGAATGTAGTTTTAGTACTATTAGTATGGCCAGGAAGTAAAGGGAGATTTTTACGAATCTCGTTCCAATCAAACCACTTATAGAAGTCGCTCCAAATTTTGGGAAGAGGTTCTTGAAGATCTCTAGAGCGCTGCTACAGGTGTACCATTCAAAAAGCTCTCTATAGTTCAAAAGAATTTGGAATGTGCGAAATTCTTATTTTTAGGTAGAGATGGTGAGGAAAGTAAAAATCTGACTTCTATCAACAAAACAGTTTCCCAATTCGAAACTGCTCGAAAGCACCTCCATCCTAGGTTGGGGTCTTGAGCTTTTGGCAGCTTACTATAGTAGGACTTCCCCTATCAGGCCAGTGCCGAAGTCGTGGCGCAAAATGTAGCTTAGAAGCGAGAAAATCGCTTCGGAATAGCGAAGAGGCATGAGGACCCCAAGTCGGTACCGCCCCCTCCAGTAGTGCCCGCCCATCCGTGCGCGCCCATATCACCTTCGCGGGGAACTGATCTGCTGGTTCTCTAGAGCGGGGATTGTCGGGTCGCGGATTCTTTACTCCATGTTCGGAATCAGGTACATGAGAAGGACTCAACGACCAAAACATGGAAGTCGAGAATCTAGGTGGAGTGGACGGTGCTTTTAAAGGCAGAGGCTGGGGAAAAATCTCTCCTCCAGCCCCCTCAGCAATCTCTAAGGTCGGGAAACGCACAAAAAGCACTTCTTTGACTTTTCAAGCACAATCCCGGCAGCGGATCGAGAAGGCCAAGTAAATGTAGGGAGCAAATCGCAATTTTTACTGCCTTTAAGAATTCTTGAACGAAAAGTTTACACCGCTATCAAAGGTTTGCTACCTGATTCCTCACCTACTGCAGCACTAATATCGTCGACTCCCAAGAATATAGAGGGCGGGGCACTGCAGACGTTTGATAACGTGCTCGTCTGGTAGTTTTTTTCTGGTAGTGTTTGAATGTCTGCAAATGCGCCGCGCGCAATACTCAGAAACCGCCTAGACTCTAAGTGACTCCCTCTTTCGTCCGCGAGGACTACTAGACAGCACCGCCCTCCCCATCCATGCCCGCTCTGTACGCGCCCAGCCAATCACGTTTCGGGAAGCGACCTGGAGTCTCCGGAACGGAAATTCTTGGGGTTTTCGCGGGTTCTCGACTTCACATTCGAAATTGAGGACCTGGGAAGGCTCCGGAACGACTAAAACTCATTCGAAATCAGGGACATGGAAGGTTCCGGAGCGACTAAAACATGAAAGTCGAGAATCTGGGTAGATGGTGCCTTTAAGAACTTGCTAATCAAGAAAGAGTACAGCATTACCGATATGCTTCAAATTTCCTGCGTTTTCTCATCACCAATAACACCCTAAAAGTTTGAACATTGGAAATTTGTCAGTACTGAATCAATTCAAAGTTCTAGGATGGTTTCTGGTGTCGAAAAAAGCCGGGGAGCGCCAACATGAACGATAGGTTGTGCCAGACATATGCGTTGCGTAGGTCAAATATTTTTCAGATTCTATATTTACGTTATGATGGCATTTAGGAATTTGGAAAAAACGCTGGGAGCTTAACGGGCCTTAATCTCTACTTTTCGACACCATTTTCAATCCGATAAAGAGCATATCGCAAAAAATAAGGCTTCAAGCGCGGTATATTGACAGCCGCAGGAGTACAGTATGCTTATTTCCAGCTATCGTTCATCTTGGCACACACCCAAAAAAGCCTACGCCGATCTCTCAAAAACCATTCACTGCATTCTCCTTGACCATTAGCAAACTTTTCAATTTCCATGTGGTTAAAACCTCAAACGCTTTGCAATGTTTGCACTGAAACGGTTTCCATGTGAAGAAATTTGATTTAATAGAGCGGAATGGGTCCTCATAAAAATAGAGAAGAAAACCCTTTTTAGGGTTTCAGGAAAGGGCCAAACTGTTTCTCATTACCTTTGAGAAATCTACAGATCAGTTTGACTAGACTAGAGACGAGTTTGACTATACTTGAAGGGCAGAATCTTTGTAATTTCTGATTTTAGTACTTTGCTCGTCAACGTTGATTTTTGTACATTTATGAGAACTGCTGATCGGCATCGGATGTGACGCCATTTACGTACAATTAATGTAAACAACGTGCTCCCTTTTCTGTAGTGTTCAAAGGCACCGTTCACCCAAAATGTGGTCGATGAGGTTTTAATGTCTAACCGTAATGTGGTCCCAGCTGTATACTTACCCAACACGCGCTGCCAGAAGTTGCTTCCCACAAGAAAATTGCTTCAAAATTCGCTTTGGATGACGGTATCGCCACGTTGACTCCTCCCCTTTGAGTGGGAATGACGTTCGTCCCTCCCATTTGATCGCACCTAACCAATCACGTTCCGCACAAGTCGCCCTGCGGGTTCTCCGAAACGGGTTTTGTCGGGGGTTTCGCGGATGTTCGACTTGATAATCGGAATCAGGGACATGAGAAGGCCCCGGGAAAACATGGAAGCTGAAATTTGGGTGGACGGTGCCGCGCCCACAGCGCATTATTGCGATCTGCGAATGCTGCGGATTTGAGCGCTCAAGCGGTGCGCCCGCAAAACCCGGCAGGGGTTCCAGGTTCGCGCTTGAGCTGATCGGCAAGAGAACACATCGTTGACACCGACTGTATGGCCTAAGGCATACCTCACGCGATTTTAGTCGCCGCGCGATTTGGCACTGCAACGACTCTCCACAGCTGGTCGTAAACGCACTTTGCTTGGGCCAGGCTTGCTGTTGTTATGTTACAATTTACGGAATCTACGCACCCATGCTTCTGAGAGCCTCGCATGCTTAATCTCTAGACATTTGGCAAGTCGCCAAGTCGCGAGGAGGTGGCGATTTCGCGAAATCGCAAGAGGTATGCCTTAGGCCTATAGGGCATTTGAAAAATCGTGACGATGGCGCGACCGCGCGCGACACGCACACCACTCCCGTAAATCGCATTTTCTTGGTTTTCGTCTCTCGTCGAATGGTTTCTTGCTCATGTATGATAATATTTAGACAATGGAAGTGACTGAGCTGAACGTTTAGGTGATGCCTTCTTGTATGAGCGTTTTATGCTTCTGTGGGCGCAAAGTCCGCAGTAAAAGCCGTCGTCACGATTTTATAAATGAACTATACGTGGTCATGACCTTTTAAATGTTGGTTCTGAACTTTCAACTGTTGGCTTTTTGAGGATCAAAGCGATATCGGGCATCTGTGCAAACGCAAGTACTCGAGTTTGTATATGTTCGAAGAATGTACTAAGAATAGAAACAGAAAATCCAATATTTGATTTCAAATAAAACAGTTGTAGGCGAAGGGCAGGCTTACATCAAGCGATATGCGAAAGTGGGGATGATTATTCGCTACATTTGAAACATGGCCTATTATGTGACACCACAAATGTAATCGTCAACAGAATAAATTTAAAAGCTATGATAATGGGGGAAGAAAGGCAAGAAGGCTTTTAACTTCGCTATGATTTTGCGTCGTATTCCTGCAATGGTCTCTTGGGCCCGTATGCATTTACATCCCTGCGGCGAGGGGAGCGGCGTTGTGAAAGCGCCCAGGGTAGGGGAACGAAGTCCGCCAGTTTGAACCGCTTCCGCGGACTACTGGTTCTGCAAGACATGCAACAATATAACAAAAGGACCAGTTGCCAGCGAAGGCGGGCTCAAACTGGCGGAGTTTGTTCTCCTACCCGGCGCCGCAAGCAAACGCGCGGCTCTTCATCGCTGGGGACGCCGCTCCCTCGCCGCAGGGATGTCAGTGCATATGGGTCTTGGAAACATGAATTGGCGAAGAATTCTGAGAGTAATTGCCGAAAACTGCGCTTGTGTTGGGAGGAAATTGAAAATACTAGAGATAAAGTTGCGAAAGGTGTGTTGTCAAGCTGCTCCACTATAACCCTCACCAGTACATAACAAACGGAAAACTTACTGTGCAGAAAAGGGAGCAAAGCTGTTGAATTAAAATCTCGATTATAGGTTTCAAAACAGTAGCTGATAATGGCACAATGGCTAATTGTTTGAGGAAATCGCCATTTCGTATATTGGTTCAGTATGTGTACTTTTACCATTCCAATAACATGTTGGTTCAGGTATCCCAGCTGAGGGATTCCGCCCGTACGGTTATTCTCGGCGAGGGCGACCTCGTGTTGGTGATATATTTATTAGGTTGGTGCAGAAGTAATGCCCGTTCAAAAGGCTATAACTTTCTTCAGTCTTCATATTTTTGATTGCAATCAAGACCTCCAGAAGCAGTAAATCTTCCCCTAGCGAGCACCTACTTATACTGATACCGCAGGGAAGAAAACCATGCGTCAAGAGAACTGAATGACTTTCTTTCTCATCTCTTTTTTGAGAGGTTACAACTCCTTTCCATTTGTTCCTATGGCTGCTAATCAGCTATTTTATGAACACAAGCGGAGTATACGTTTGTATAGACTTTAACAAAAGATTTTTGCGAGCGGTAAGAAAAAATAAACAAAACTTTAAAAATGCGGGATCTTTCATGCACTGAATAGCTGCTATTCCGCAAAGTTATAGGCAGGATATCCTGACCTCAATCATACAGAAATAAGCGAGGCTTCGACGATTGTCTTAATAAGGAAAAACTTTAACATATTGAATATCGGGCAGCGAACTCCATTTTGGGGCGTTAACTTCTAAATTCAAGTATAGACAAAAAATTTAGAAAAGCAAAAGAATATTAAACAATACTCATCCTATACAGTAGCTATGTTTTCAAAAGAGCTCGTTTATTTGCGTCTGAATTGTGGCCAAGAAAGTGAAAGCTATGGAATTTTGATTTGAGAGCGCAAAATGCTGGTGAAATTCTCACAGATGTGTTAGAAGAATTTTACGACTATTAGAAAGTACATAAAAAAGCTTTCCAGTGTTATGCAGAATCTGTATTGGAAAAGAATGTAATATGTCTAGAAAAACGGAGACATTATCTTTGCATTA